AACATTACGTGTTCAACTGTTTCATCTGTTTCATCATCTCTATCTGATTTCTGAGTGATTATACTGCAAACTAATTAAGGATGAACTAGAATCTGAACAGATAACTTATCTTAATGGCTTAACTTCTTTAGCTAATAATATTGCAATCATTTCTCCTGTATAAACTGAAAGTCCATCATTTATTCTCTTCTTAGTTTTAACATTGAATTCTAGTATAATGAAAGCTACTCTGATTTGTTATATTTTTAGAAGAATCTGTATAAATTTTAACATAACTATAATAATTATTAATATATTCCTGTACTATATATGAGTTTAATATGAATGTCTTCTTCTTTTCAACAAAGTAAAATCTACCCTAACATCTGGAACCATCCATGTATGACTGATAATGGAACTGTTTGGCTTATATTAATCTGATCTTTTTTGAGTTCTGGTATTTTTTCTTGCACAATCCAGCCAAAACTTCTAATATCTTTTGCTTCTTTTTCCCAACGGTGTTGAATTACCTGCAGAGTTGGATGATCCTTTCTATGACCTGTTAAATCAGCCCAATAATTTACTGTTAATTGCTCTCTTCAAGTGGCATTTCTGCCATTTCTACTAATAATGCAGCTCTTGGAGTAATTTTAATTTTTCCTGTACATAATCTCAATGTTGGATACAGAATGTGACCCATTTTTTCTAGATTTGTCTCTGCTGCTGAATTATAAACAATGCTTCCATAATCTATTACTGATCTACTTAATCTCATATATATATATATATATATATATATATATATATATATATATATATATATATATATATATATATATATATATATATATATATATATATATATATATATATATATATATATATATATATCCACTGGGAATTTAAATCCCATCTTATTGACCACTCTTCAACTTTACCAATAGCTTCCTGTATCTATTTAGTAACAAACTCCAAATTCCTCCCTCTCTTCCAAATTGCTCCATCATCAGCAAATAGAGAAATTCTACCTACCTTTAATAATTCTAGACAGGGGCCAACAGGGACTAGCAGATGCCAACAGGGGCCAACAGAGACCAACAGGGGCCAACAGAGAAAAACAGGGGCCAACAGGGGCTAACAGAGACCAACACTGGCCAACAGGGGCCAACAGTGGCCAACAGGGGTCAACGGGGACTAGCAAAGGCCAACAGGGGCCAACAGGGGCGAACAGAGACCAACAGTGGCCAACAGGGGCCAACAGAGACCAACAGTGGCAAACAGGGGTCAACAGGGACTAGCAGAGGCCAACAGAGACCAACAGAGACCAACAGGGGCCAACAGTGGCCAACAGTGGCCAACGGTGGCCACCATGGGCAAACAGAGACAAACAGGGGCCAACAGAGGCTAACAGGGGCCAACAGAGGCTAACAGGGGCCAACAGAGACCAACAGTGGCAAACAGGGGCCAACAGAGACCAGCAGTGGCCAACAGAGACCAACAGTGGCCAGCGGTGGCCAACAGGGGCCAACGGTGGCCAACAGGGGCCAACAGAGACCAACAGGGGCCAACAGAGACCAACAGATCTACTTTATTTTTTATTTTATTTTATTTTTCTTTAGTTTTCAGGTTAAAATGGTTGCTGGAAAAGATCATGGCTGCATGATTAATTGTTCATTGATTTTTATACACTGAAAAAAAATCATGCAACCATTTTTGGCATTTACTCAGTCATATTTAGTTACATTAAAACAATTGTTTCATGTTAGCAGTGGTAGTAGAGTAGGACATAAAACAATTATGTTAAAGTAACTAAATATGATTAAGTAAGTGCCAAAAGCGGTTGCAAATTTTTTTTCAGTGTAACTGTTAAAAGTGACGTGAAATGACCCTGCTGAGGGTAAAGAGCTGGTCCAGCGTTCCACGACCAGGACGAAAACCACACTGCTCTTCCTGAATCTGAGGTTCGACTATCCGACGAACCCTCCTCTCCAGCACCCCCGAATAGACCTTGCCGGGGAGGCTTAAGAGTGTGACTGCCCTGTAATTGCAGCACACCCTCCGGTCCCCCTTTTTAAATTGGGGGACCACCACCCCAGTCTGCCAATCCAGGGGAACTGCCCCCGATGTCCATGCAATGTTGCAGAGTCGCGTCAGCCAACACAACCCTACAATATCCAGGACCTTGAGGAACTCCGGGCAGATCTCATCCACCCCCGGGGCTCTGCCACCGAGGAGCTTTTTAACCACCTCGGCGACCTCGCCCACAGAGATTGGAGAGCCCAGTCCAGAGTCCCCAGGCCCAGCTTCCTCAATGGAAGGCATGTTGGTGGGATTGAGGAGGTCTTCGAAGTATTCCGCCCACAGACCCACAACGTCCCGAGTCGAGGTCAGCAGCACACCATCCCCACTATAAACAGTGTTGGTGCTGCACCACATCCCCCTCCTGAGACGCTGGATGGCGGACCAGAATCGCTTCGGAGCCGTACGGAAGTCTTTCTCCATGGCCTCTACAAACTCCTCCCACACCTGAGTTTTTGCCTCAGCAACCACCCGAGCCACATGACGCTTCGCCCGCCGGTACCCATCAGCTGATTCCGGAGTCCCACAGGCCAAAAAGGCCCGATAGGACTCCTTCTTCAACCTGACAGCATCCCTCACCGGAGGTGTCCACCAGCGGGGTTCGAGGGTTGCCGCCACGACAGGCACCGACAACCTTGCAGCCGCAGCTCAGATAAGCCGCCGCGACAATGGAGGAACGGAACATGGTCCACTCGGACTCAATGTCCCCCACCTCCCCCGGGATGTGTTCGAAGTTCTGCCGGAGATGGGAGTTAAAGTCCCACCTAACAGGGGACTCCGCCAGACGTTCCCAGCAGACCCTCACAACACGTTTGGGCCTGCCAGGTCTGACCGGCATCCTCCCTCACCACCGGAGCCAACTCACCACCAGATAGGGGTCAGTGGAAAGCTCTGCACCTCTCTTTACCCTAGTGTCCAAGACATACGGCCGCAAGTCCGATGAAACGATGACAAAGTCGATCATCGAACTGGGGCCTAGGGTGTTCTGGTGCCAAGTGCGCATATGGACACCCCTATGCTTGAACATGGTGTTCGTAATGGACAATCCATGACGAGCACAGATGTCCAACAACAGAACACCACTCGAATTCAGATTGGGGCGGCCATTCCTACCAACCACGCCCCTCCAGGTCTCACTGTCATTTCCCATGTGAGCGTTGAAGTCTCCCAGCAGAACAAGGGAGTCCCCAGGAGGGGCACCCTCCAGTATCCCCCCTAAGGACTCCAAGAAGGGTGGGTAATCTGAACTGTTGTTCGGCCCGTAAGCACATACAACAGTCAGAACCCGTCCCCCCACCCGTAGGCGGAGGGAGGCTACCCTCTCGTTCACCGGGGTGAACCCCAACATGCAGGCGCCGAGATGGGGGGCAACAAGTATGCCCACTCCTGCCCGGCGCCTCTCACCGTGGGTAACTCCAGAGTGGAAGTATGTCCAGCCCCTCTCAAGGAGACTGGTTCCAGAACCAGAACCATGCGTCGCGGTGAGACCGACTATTTCTAGCTGGAACCTCTCAGCCTCACACACTAGCTTCGGTTCCTTCCCCACCAGCGAGGTGACATTCCACGTCCCTAGAGCCAGCTTCTGCAGCCGAGGATCGGACCGCCAGGGTCCCCTCCCTCGGCCGTCAACCAACACACATTGCACCCGACCCCTATGGCCCCTCTCACGGGTGGTGGGCCCATGTTTCCTCTTCGGGCTGAGCCCGGCCGGGCCCCATGGGTAAAAGCCCGGCCACCAGGCGCTCGCCATCGTGCCCCCCCTCCAGGCCTGGCTGCAGAGTGGGGCCCCGGTGACCCGCGTCTGGGCGAGGGAACGCTGAATCCAAAGGTTGTACTCATCATGAGGGTCTTCGGGCTGCGCTTTGTCTGGTACCTCACCTAGGACCTGTCTGCCTTGGCTGACCCTACCAGGGGCATAAAACCCCAGACAGCATAGCTCCCAGGATCAATGGGACACTCAAACCTCTCCACCACAATAAGGTGGCAGCCCAAGGAGAGGATTTATATACACATTTATATACAATATAAATCAAAATTTCTATTTGATATGTCTGAATTTAGGGAACTCAAACAATGAGTGGTTTCAGCAAAGGTAGAGAGAGAAGTGGCTTCAGCTGATAAATTTAGATCGTAGGTCTTCAACAGGGGGTCCGTGACCCCTAGGGGGTCCACAGAGGTACTGCATGGGGGTCGCGAAGTTTTGGTTGATAACACTTTTTTTTTAAATATTCCCCCCTGCAATTTTTCCATTAATTGAAAAGTCTTTAAATCCACATTAACATGAATAAAACAGACTGTATTAAACAGATAAATGGAGGCAGAAGATGTTTTCAGTCATCAATGTTCACATTCAGCGACACACAGGAGCTCTTTAAGCTGGGCACCGTTTCATTCTCAACATCTGTCCCATCAACCAGGAATCAGAAATACTTTAATAATCCCAGGGAGCGATTACTTTAGTTACACTATAGTACCAGTTTGATATAACACAATTTCATTCAACATATATAATTAGGGGGTCCCCGCTCCATCTCCCTATCAGTTTGGGGTCCTTGTCCTAGAAAACGTTGAAGACCCCTGATTTAGATCATTACCTGGGGGGGGGGGGGGGGGGGGGTCGCATCCACCTCAAAAATATGTAGTTACGCCCCTGCTCCTGGTTTAGGAAATGATGCTTTGATCCTGATCAAAGGCATTTTTTTCTGACTGATCAGGGAGATTATAGACTTTATAAATCAGATTTAAACACATCTGTTATATTTCATATTTTAGGGTTTATTAAACTTTTTCATCAATGATAAATATTAATCCCAACATTTATTTGTTTTAATGTCTATTTGTCATTTTTATCAGTGAAGTTTATTTAAAACAAAAAAGGAAAAAGCTCCAGAGGCACACCCACAGACACGATCAAAGGTCTGATCCGTGGGGCACACCCACGCATTCCACCCAGCCCTGTCCCACTGAAACAAGATGGCGGCGAGCATAGTGCGGCTCTCTCTCCGTCTTTCCGGCAGGAAAACGGGCATAAAAAGCTGTAATCCCGGATTAAACCCCTCCTCTATTCCCAGGAAGAGTCAAAGCAGGGCTGTGGTTTCCACTCCTTCCGGGGGAATCCTCCCCAAACCTGAAAAGGTGAGTTTTTCTCCTCTCTGCTCACAACAGGAAGCCGAGGAGAGGCGCAGTGGGCGGGGCCTTTCCTGTGCTGACAGCAGCACCAGCCAATAGAGACGCAGCAGGGCGATAAACGTCATTTCCGCTGCGCGTCTGTTTACAAGAACCAGGAAGTCATTTGCAGGAATTCTATAGATCTATACAACTAGACAAACTTCCATAAACAGGCTCTAACTTGCTGGTCGCTTTTATACAAACACAATTTCTCCCCTCATAAATGTTTTATCTGGAACAATCTGCATATCTTACATAGAAACAAGACTCTCTTTATATAAAACTGGTTTAAACATGGTATCGTTCTGGTAGCCCAACTGTTGAATAACTCAAAACAAATTCTAACATATGACGACTTCACTCATAAATTTAACTTCTATCCTCCAAGAATAGAATTTGACGTTGTAAGCAGAGCCATAGCCCATGGGATCATCACCCTACTTAGAGATGAGAAAGAGTTAGATCAAAGGAATGTTCTTGTCTCCAGCAATATTTCAATAAGTGGTTTATTTTTTCTAGACAGAAAAGTCAACAACAAAGTTATTATAAACCTTCTATGTGCAAACTCTATCCCTGCTTCCAGGTACAAATTGCCCCCCTGTATGAAAACATTAACTGGAGTAGAGCCTGGAGTAACCCACATACATTTTTAATTACAAACAAAGTAAAAGAAATAACATTTAAAATCCTTCACCATTATTATTCCTGTAATAAGCTGATTTCACAATTCATCCCCACTGTAGATGAAAAATGCTCCTTTTGCTCTTTGGAAATAGAAACATTAGACCATTTGTTTTATAGCTGTTAACAGCTCTTCTCTTTGGAATGATATAAAATCCTTTATTTATGGTCACTTTGGCTCAAACATACTTTTATCCAGTTTTCACATCTTCTTTTATTTTTCTGGCTCAAACCCCTCTATACAATATACAGTCAATTTATTTATTTTACTTGGTAAATTCTTCATCCATATGTCAAAATTTATGAAGAACAAACCTCAGTGTTTTTAAAGTTGACTTAAAAATTATATAATCTGTGTTTCTGGATTAAAGGGTAAATCAGCATCAAAATGTTTACAACAATTATCTTCTCTAACTTTATAATTAATGTTACTGATACACATTTTTTGTTACTCTGGCTATGTTCTTTAATTGTTGATGTTTTTTTTAATGTATTTTACTTTATTTTCTTTGTCTTTGTTTTCCCTTCATACAAACGTGAACTGTAACTTTATAAGTTTTGTAATAAAAAATAAATAAAACTAGACATGTTCAGTCTAGTGTGTTTACTCAGTAAAAATGTTATATATATATATATATATATATATATATATATATATATATATATATATATATATATATATATATATAACATTTTCTGTCCTTTCCCCCAATTCTAATATCTATATCAATCAATTTACCTATAAAATGTTCTTTTATTAGTTCAACAACAAAATATTCTGGTCTATTGATCTCAGATAAATTCCCTCTCTGCATTTAACCCATTTCCTTAGGGAGCAGTGGGCTGCCATGGCGCGGCGCCCGGGGAGCAGTGGGCTGCCATGGCGCGGCGCCCGGGGAGCAGTGGGCTGCCATGGCGCGGCGCCTGGGGAGCAGTGGGCTGCCATGGCGCGGTGCCCGGGGAGCAGTGTGGGGTTAAGGGTCTTGCTCAGGGATCCAGAGTGCAGGCTGTGGGAGTGGAACCGGCTACTGAAACCTTCTCAGAGCACAGCGCTCTGCTCTAACCACCAGGCCAACACTCACCCTAGAAATTTAGTTGTTATATTTTTCAGTCGACGTAAATTTTCATGCAATTATCTGACTATCTTCCTGCTGCTTACATGTTTAAAAACTAATCTCTTTACTCATGAGTTGGGAGTAAAACTCACATGAATCCGTTTAAATAACAGTGACTGTGATTGGATGAGAAGAGCAAGCGTTTCCCATCTTTGCAGCTTATTGGCTGTTGGTCTGAGCAGGATCACATCTACGCTTCTCTAAGCACTAGAACATCACTCCCCTCAAACATCCACCTTCCTCCATCCCTTCATCATCAGTCATTTTATCAGGAGGCTCCAATCAGAGCGCCGTGCTGCTGCTGCTGTTTGAATCTGTACCGCAGCAGAATCAGGTGGTTTTACCTGGACTCACCTGTTCAGTTGATCTCTATAACACATTATCTACATTTTACAGACACCTTTTGGCCTTTTCCGGATGACTGTGGTGGTGGTGCCTTTCCTGTACGTTGGAACTTTGATCAGCAAGAACTTTGCTGCTCTCCTGGAGGAGCATGACATCTTCGTCCCTGACGATGATGACGACGATGACTGACTTTAGTGTGCAACATAAAGAGGTAAAATCAACATGTCCCAGAGCTACACCGTCTAGTGCTATGCCCCGTAGAGCCACACCCTGTAGAGCTGCAACCTGTAGAGCCACGCCCTGTAGAGCCATGACACCCTGTAGAGCTACGGCCTGTAGAGCCACGGCCTGTAGAGCTGCAACCTGTAGAGAGACGCCCTGTAGAGCCACGGCCTGTAGAGCTACGGCCTGTAGAGCTACGGCCTGTAGAGCTACGGCCTGTAGAGCCACGGCCTGTAGAGCCACGGCCTGTAGAGCCACGGCCTGTAGAGCCACGGCCTGTAGAGCCACGGCCTGTAGAGCTATGGCCTGTAGAGCTACGGCCTGTAGAGCCACGATACCCTGTAGAGCTACGGCCTGTAGAGCCACACCCTGTAGAGCCACGGCCTGTAGAGCCACGGCCTGTAGAGCCACGGCCTGTAGAGCCACGGCCTGTAGAGCCACGGCCTGTAGAGCCGCAACCTGTAGAGCCGCAACCTGTAGAGCCACGATACCCTGTAGAGCTACGGCCTGTAGAGCCACGGCCTGTAGAGCCACGGCCTGTAGAGCCACGGCCTGTAGAGCCACGGCCTGTAGAGCCACGGCCTGTAGAGCCACGGCCTGTAGAGCCACGGCCTGTAGAGCCACGGCCTGTAGAGCCACGGCCTGTAGACTGGCTGAAGATTGGAGCAGTCTAATCTGCGTCTGCAGCCTGGGAACCCAGAGAAAACCATGCAAGCTTAGTTCTTATCCAGCTTTTATTTGTGAAGCATGTTTTGAAGCAGTGACTTGTTGTTGTTGATGATGATGATGATGATGATGATGATGATGATGATGTTGTTGTTGTTGTTGACTTCGGTAATTGTTTACTCCGCAGGGCGTTTTGCAATATGGACTGATGGAGAAGCAGGCAGCACAGTAAACCAGGCAGCACAGTCAAGATGAATGAGCTGTTTCCTGCAGCCTTCATATCGACGCCCAAACCTCTCGTCTTCTGAATCATTCGGCTCCACCTTCACTCTTGTGTGCATGTTTACAAGTGTGTCCACTAAAGAAATGTTTATTAAAACTGAAATAAACGTAGATGATTGAAAGAAATGCTGCGTTGTTTAAAGAGAACAGATCTGATGCAGTTAGATCAGTTTTCCATAAAGACTCTTCTTTGCTGTAATGTTTAGGTGTTAGAGCTCCGCTCGGTCTCTCCCCTCCTGCACCGCAGCGTTAGCTAATCTTAAATGTTCATTCAGCGAGCCCAGCTCCAGCTGGCTCCGCCCCCTGCTGTCGCTTAGTTCAACATAAGCCTCCTGGTACATTTTGTAGACCGCTTCTTTTTCCTGTAGCAAACACAAAATGTTCATACAAACGTTTTAAATGGAAGTCCCTTATAAAAGCATTTAGTCATGCTTCAACGTCACACTTTAACGAGTTTTATTAATTATGAAGTGGAAAGAAAAGGAGACGCATTTTACTGCATCTACGCCTGCAGGATGATATTCCTTTCATTTGTTTGACATTATTCCAAAAAAAAGTTAAACAATCAACTGGAATTTATTTCCCAGTTTGAAGACGTTTCTCTTCCATCCAGGAAGATTTTTCAATCCAAAATGTCAGAAATAATCATTTCTGACATTTTGAGAATGACTGACCTGGGACACCAGCATGTTTGACATTATTCTTGGGAAAAAAATTAAATTTTGTGGAAGTTTTTTTTTTTTTATTTGGATTTAAATGTAGAGTTTGACAAAGTCATTCTAGCAAAAATGATAATTTGATCCATGTTATTCATTTATTGCATCTTTTAAAGGTTAAAGAAAAACCAGTTTGGCTGAAGGACTCCATACAGATAAATGCAAATCTTTTCATATTTTTACTTGTAAAAACTTGTTTTTATTCCACTTTAGAAGCTTTATTCTAATAATTAGTCACAAAGAATTGTAATAACGCGTTAAAGTTTGTTGTTTAAAGAAAAGGTTTTTCCAGGGATGCGTTCATCTACACTGTGTGCAGAATTATTAGGCAGGTTGTATTTTTGAGGATTATTTTTATTATTGGGCCACAATTCTGTTCTCAATCAACCCAAAGACTCCTTAATATAAGAGTTTCATATTTTTTTGGAAGTTGATGTGGGTTTTTTTTTTTTAGATTTGGCCATTTAATGAGGATGTCTGTGAGTGCAGGTAAATATAAATGTGCAGAATTATTAGACAACATAATAAACAAAACAAATACATACCTATCTCACTTATGTTCAGCAGGTAAACCAGGGTGTCAAACTGGTTCCAGAAAGGGCTGCAGGTTTTCTTTCCAACCAAGCAATAGCCCAGCAGACCCCAGTCACCTCATCAAGTCATCATGTTCAGATTGGACTCACTTGATGAGATGAATGGAGTCTGGTTGCTATTGATTGGTTGGAAAGAAAACCTGCAGCCCTTTCTGGAACCAGTTTGACACCCCTGAGGTAAACCAATATAACAACTGAAAATTCAGAAATAAACACATTCAAAAACAAACAAACCTAAATAAGTGACCAATCTATCCTCCTTTCTCTGACGCTCTAAATCCTCCATCCATAGATTCTGTCGTTGTCTTGATCTGTGTGCGATCCTCATGGCGTGCAGCAGCCTCCCTGTTCTCCCTCCCTGTAGATCTCACCTTTCATGAAGGACCACAGGTTCTCCATGGGGTTCAGATTAGGTGAACAAGGCGGCCATGTCATTATTTTTCCTCCTTTTAGCCTTTTCCTGGCCGCCACGCTGTGGTGTATTCTGATGCGTGTGACGGAGCATCGTCCTGCAGGAATATCAGGTGTTTCTGGAATGATGGCGACTTCATCTTGTTCCGCTGTTTGAAGAAGGTGTCTTCCAGAAACTGGCAGTAGGTCTGGGAGTTGATCTTGACTCCATCATCAACATGAAAAGGTCCCACAGGCTCATCTTTGATGATAGCAGCCCATAGCATTACCCCACCTCCACCTTGCTGGCGTCTGAGTGGATAAGGAACTTGCTGCCCTTTACTGATCCAGCCTGGTGCCCATCCATCCATCTGGACCATCTAGACTCTCTCTCATTCCATCAGACCCAAACACCTTGGAGGAATCAGTCTGCAGAGATTTCTTGGCCCAATCTGGACGTTTTGTCTCGTGAGTCTTGTTCAAAGTTGGCCATTTTTCAGCTTTCCTTACCTCGGCCAGGTCCCTGAGGATCGAGCACCTTGTGCTTCTGGGCGCTCCAGACATGTTGCAGCTCTGAAATATGGAACAACTGGTGGCTGATGGCTTCCTGGCAGCTTCACGCTTCATCCTTCTCAATTCATGGGGACGTATTTTGTCTTTTCTTTTTTCAACACACCCTGTTGGCGATTTGCCATGAAACGCTTGATCATGCGCTGATCCCGCTTCAAAAGCTTGGCAATAACCAAACCGCTGAAAGACATCTGACAATCTTTGACTTTGTCTGTCAGATCTCTTTTCTGACCCATTTTGCCAAAGGAGAGGAAGTTGCCTAATAATTAAGCACACCTTTAATAGGGTGTTGATGTCATTAGGCCACGGCCCTTCTCATTACAGAGATGCACACCACCTGATTTAATTAATTGGTAGTTGGCTTTGAAGCCTCTACAGCTTGGAGTAGAACATGTATGAAAAGGATGATGTGGTGAAAATACTCATTGCCTAGTAATGTATGTATATATATATACATATGTATATGTGTGTGTGTGTGTGTGTGTGTGTGTGTTATACCTGCATCAGCACGTGTACTTCATTTTGCAGACAGCTGATTTCTTTTTTAAGATACTGGATCTCGTTTTCCTTTACTCTCAATAATGTCTGAAAGACAAAACAAATTATTTGTCATTAATTCTGCTCAAAAACTGCTTTTAAGTTGCTAATTGTTGTCTGGCCTGATTTTAGACTTTAATGTGATTTTTTTTTCTACGTTTATAGCCGCTTATTTTGATCATTCCAAATGGTTCAGGTTATAAGATCTAACTTTGAAGTTGTTAAATGATTTAACCTAATGCGGTTCATAATGTGGCAGCTCATGCAACCAGGTTTTGGTTAGTGTCTATTTTTTTGCTTTGCTTTGGGAATCAAACAGAAAAATGATAAAGACTTTATATTCTTTCATTTTTACATTGAAGATGTTGAAAATGATCAAATATCAGCTTTAATGATCAAATCAGTAAGCTTTTTTTAAACAATGTTAAAAGGAGAAACTTCCATGTTTAATCTGCTCCAACAGGAACGTCATACATCATCTCCACCAGGAGGTGGCGCCATATAACGGTAGGATGTCACTGACCACATAAATACAAATAAGGAGGGATTCATATGAAGGCAGGAAATGGATTCAGCAGTTTTAAACTGGTGGGACGTCTTCATGGAGAACATTTTACTGCTGGGATTAGTTTAGACGTCAGTCTGATTCTGAGATTATTCACAGAGGTAAAGTTCTGAGATTATTCACGGAGATAAAGTTCTGAGATTATTCACTGAGTTAAAGTTCTGAGATTATTCATGGAGGTAAAGTTCTGAGATTATTCACGGAGGTAAAGTTCTGAGATTATTCACGGAGGTAAAGTTCTGAGATTATTCACGGAGGTAAAGTTCTGAGATTATTCACGGAGGTAAAGTTCTGAGATTATTCACTGAGGTAAAGTTCTGAGATTATTCACGGAGGTAAAGTTCTGAGATTATTCACCGAGTTAAAGTTCTGAGATTATTCATGGAGGTAAAGTTCTGAGATTATTCACTGAGGTAAAGTTCTGAGATTATTCACGGAGGTAAAGTTCTGAGATTATTCACGGAGGTAAAGTTCTGAGATTATTCACTGAGGTAAAGTTCTGAGATTATTCACGGAGGTAAAGTTCTGAGATTATTCACGGAGGTAAAGTTCTGAGATTATTCACGGAGGTAAAGTTCTGAGATTATTCACGGAGGTAAAGTTCTGAGATTATTCACGGAGGTAAAGTTCTGAGATTATTCACTGAGGTAAAGTTCTGAGATTATTCACTGAGGTAAAGTTCTGAGATTATTCACTGAGTTAAAGTTCTGAGATTATTCACGGAGGTAAAGTTCTGAGATTATTCACGGAGGTAAAGTTCTGAGATTATTCACGGAGGTAAAGTTCTGAGATTATTCACGGAGGTAAAGTTCTGAGATTATTCACGGAGGTAAAGTTCTGAGATTATTCACGGAGGTAAAGTTCTGAGATTATTCACGGAGGTAAAGTTCTGAGATTATTCACGGAGGTAAAGTTCTGAGATTATTCACGGAGGTAAAGTTCTGAGATTATTCACGGAGGTAAAGTTCTGAGATTATTCACGGAGGTAAAGTTCTGAGATTATTCACGGAGGTAAAGTTCTGAGATTATTCACGGAGGTAAAGTTCTGAGAATATTCACGGAGGTAAAGTTCTGAGATTATTCACGGAGGTAAAGTTCTGAGATTATTCACTGAGTTAAAGTTCTGAGATTATTCACGGAGGTAAAGTTCTGAGATTATTCACGGAGGTAAAGTTCTGAGATTATTCACGGAGGTGAAGTTCTGAGATTATTCACGGAGGTAAAGTTCTGAGATTATTCACGGAGGTAAAGTTCTGAGATTATTCACGGAGGTAAAGTTCTGAGATTATTCACGGAGGTAAAGTTCTGAGATTATTCACGGAGGTAAAGTTCTGAGATTATTCACGGAGGTAAAGTTCTGAGATTATTCACTGAGGTAAAGTTCTGAGATTATTCACGGAGGTAAAGTTCTGAGATTATTCACTGAGTTAAAGTTCTGAGATTATTCACGGAGGTAAAGTTCTGAGATTATTCACGGAGGTAAAGTTCTGAGATTATTCACGGAGGTAAAGTTCTGAGATTATTCACGGAGGTAAAGTTCTGAGATTATTCACGGAGGTAAAGTTCTGAGATTATTCACGGAGGTAAAGTTCTGAGATTATTCACGGAGGTAAAGTTCTGAGATTATTCACGGAGGTAAAGTTCTGAGATTATTCACGGAGGTAAAGTTCTGAGATTATTCACGGAGGTAAAGTTCTGAGATTATTCACGGAGGTAAAGTTCTGAGATTATTCACGGAGGTAAAGTTCTGAGATTATTCACGGAGGTAAAGTTCTGAGATTATTCACGGAGGTAAAGTTCTGAGATTATTCACGGAGGTAAAGTTCTGAGATTATTCACGGAGGTAAAGTTCTGAGATTATTCACGGAGGTAAAGTTCTGAGATTATTCACGGAGGTAAAGTTCTGAGATTATTCACGGAGGTAAAGTTCTGAGATTATTCACTGAGGTAAAGTTCTGAGATTATTCACGGAGGTAAAGTTCTGAGATTATTCACTGAGTTAAAGTTCTGAGATTATTCACGGAGGTAAAGTTCTGAGATTATTCACGGAGGTAAAGTTCTGAGATTATTCACGGAGGTAAAGTTCTGAGATTATTCACGGAGGTAAAGTTCTGAGATTATTCACGGAGGTAAAGTTCTGAGATTATTCACGGAGGTAAAGTTCTGAGATTATTCACGGAGGTAAAGTTCTGAGATTATTCACGGAGGTAAAGTTCTGAGATTATTCACGGAGGTAAAGTTCTGAGATTATTCACGGAGGTAAAGTTCTGAGATTATTCACTGAGGTAAAGTTCTGAGATTATTCACTGAGGTAAAGTTCTGAGATTATTCACTGAGGTAAAGTTCTGAGATTATTCACTGAGGTAAAGTTCTGAGATTATTCACGGAGGTAAAGTTCTGAGATTATTCACTGAGTTAAAGTTCTGAGATTATTCACGGAGGTAAAGTTCTGAGATTATTCACGGAGGTAAAGTTCTGAGATTATTCACTGAGTTAAAGTTCTGAGATTATTCACGGAGGTAGAGTTCTGAGATTATTCACGGAGGTAAAGTTCTGAGATTATTCACTGAGTTAAAGTTCTGAGATTATTCACGGAGGTAAAGTTCTGGGATCATTCACGGAGGTAAAGTTCTGGGATCATTCACGGAGGTAAAGTTCTGAGATCATTCACGGAGGTAAAGTTCTGAGATTATTCACGGAGGTAAAGTTCTGAGATTATTCACGGAGGTAAAGTTCTGAGATTATTCACTGAGTTAAAGTTCTGAGATTATTCACGGAGGTAGAGTTCTGAGATTATTCACGGAGGTAGAGTTCTGAGATCATTCACGGAGGTAAAGTTCTGAGATTATTCACGGAGGTAAAGTTCTGAGATTATTCACGGAGGTAAAGTTCTGAGATTATTCACGGAGGTAAAGTTCTGAGATTATTCACGGAGGTAAAGTTCTGAGATTATTCACTGAGTTAAAGTTCTGAGATTATTCACGGAGGTAGAGTTCTGAGATTATTCACGGAGGTAGAGTTCTGAGATCATTCACGGAGGTAAAGTTCTGAGATTATTCACGGAGGTAAAGTTCTGAGATTATTCACGGAGGTAAAGTTCTGAGATTATTCACGGAGGTAAAGTTCTGAGATTATTCACGGAGGTAAAGTTCTGAGATTATTCACGGAGGTAAAGTTTCACTGGAGAAAAAAAGTTTTAGTACCTCTAAATCCGAAGGAGCCGCCTCAGTTTTGCAAAGTGAGACCACATCTGACCTTTGACCCGTAATGAAAAATCTCATTCGACTGATTTCCTCTGCAAGCTTGGCCTTCAGCTCCTGGAAAGAGGAACCCCTTGTTACCATGGCGACATGTTGGGAGGGTAAATATCCCTGGGACCATTGAGAGGAATAACCAGGTGATGTGTAGCTACCTGGTTTTCCCTCTGCAGCTGCTCCATCTCTCTCTTCTTCTGCTCCAGCCGGGTGTCCAGGCTCACGCTGTTCTGCTCAGAGCCTCTCAGCTCCAGGCACTTCTCAGAGTAGCGTTCTGAAAGCACGTTTAACTCGCTGTGCAACACCTCTGCCTCGGGCCTGATGTAGATAAATGCACATAGAGGTTGGTTACAGAGTAAGGAACATCTTATTGTTGAGCTGGAGGAAGTAGTTTAATCGTAGCAGAAGAGAGAGCTTAGAATAAACATACATGTGAGGTCTGTAAGAGGAAGCTGCTGCTCCACCATGAAGCCTCGTCTTCTCTGCTTCTCTTTCCAACTCCTCCCTGTGAGCTGCTTTCAGCGCCTCCAGAGCTTTGATGAAAAGAAGTTAATCAGTCAGCAAACGGTCATGAAGAGCTGATGCACAGTTTTAAGAAAAGTCGGCTCTGGAGGATTTATTACCATGATTACAGCGATGTCGCCGCGTGCCGCGCTCTGCACGCCGCGCTCTGCACGCCGCGCTCTGCACGCCGCGCTCTGCACGCCGCGCTCTGCACGCCGCGCTCTGCACGCCGCGCTCTGCACGCCTCTCTGGGACCATAAACCACTTAAACATCCCCAGTTATCCCAGAAGGAACTAAAACTTTCCACATTTTGCATCACTGTAGTTCCTGAAGCAGTAGGGGGCGCTGTCTGCTCGCTTTTTAACCGCATCAAGAAAAGAACTGGACGGAATCATTACGCCGACTTCTTATTAACAAGACATGAGAGAAAACAAGCTAACAGTGGACTCCTCCTCCAGATGATGCTCCACAAACACAGGTATGTGATGGACATGATATCTTTACATCAACTTCCATAACATCCTATAATTCTACAGGTTCCAGTTTGTTGACGGAGCCTCATTTCCAGCAATGCCAGTTTGAACTTTCCTTATTCTGCAGCGGCTTCATCAGAATTCAAGGATAAAACCAGAAGTGGATCTTCTGCCATCTTTGATCTCAGAGGATTTTATGGTCGAGGCTATTTTCAGGCACATAAACTGTGATGGAGACCAAATATCTGTCCCTCAATATCATTGGTTGGTTAGGATTACGATTTACATCGATTTTAAAGATGTTTCAAAAACTGTGACTTTCTTCTGGCGATTGATCTGGAAATGGGGCAATAAATCCCATCGGGCCTAGAGGTCTGGTTATCATCCAGCAGTGAGTCGCAGATACGTTTGATTTCTGCCCAATATTGAAGCGTGGTCTGCGCTGTTATTCCACGCCACAACGCCAGAGGGCCAATCAGGAACTAGCTGTGGGTCTAGATACGGCCGAGGCGGTGAGGAAGTGAGGGCCATAAAGAGCGGGGATCCAGGTGGGAAAAGGCTCCCAGCGTTCTCGCTCTGCCAGCTGCTCCATCTTCACCAGTCGTTTTCCACAATGGCGGTCAGACAAACAGAACAAGCCGGTAAGGAAGCAAACAGGAAATACGCATAGAGAGGATGTTGAATTGACCAATCAGAGGCCTGCGTCTGCGGTCACCTACAGTTTTGGAGAGGTGCTGCAGAGTGTCTGCAGAAGGGGGCGGAGCATATCTGCGTTAACCGCAACACACACGCAGACGACCTGGTTTCTGAGCATAAAACATCCTTCAGCGCTTGTTGGCTAACCCTTAGCAGCTGCCTGACTCTCCTGCTGCAGCTTATGATCTCTCTCCTCCTGCAGCTCCCTCTTCTCCCTGGAATGCTTCTCCTGCAGCGCCTGCAGCTCCTTTCGATGGGCTACTTCTATGGCTTCCAGCTTGGCCCTACATGGAGCTCCAGGGCCGCAGGGACTGTCCACATCCACCCCCATGGCGCTTTCAACCTGCTTTTGAAGAGAGTTAGTTTGGGAGGTTGATTTGCATCAAACATTAGGAGGAGCACAGTTTAATTTGCCCTGAAGGAATCGTTAGCTTACCTCTTTCTGAGCTTCAGCCTGGTTAGTTTGAAGGATCTGGTTATTTACGGAGGGAAGAACCATGCCTGAGGAGGTCACTGATGTCTGGTTGACCTGATCTGGGCATGGCTGATTAGTCTGAGAGCTAACTAGAGACTCTGACATGTCTGGAGACTTTGACTGATAGGCCTGGTCACCAATGAGAGAATGGACGCTTGCGTCACTGAATGAGGTCTCAAACTCTGTCCATTTCTTGTTGACTTCAGAGTCAACGGCTTCATTAACCGGGATGGGAACACTGCCCTTTTTCAGCTCCATGGAGTCCCACCTGCTGCTCATCTCACTAAGAAGGACCCCTCCCTCGAACCACTTGTTCCTCTCTTCCAGTCTCTTGGCCTGCTCACGGTCCCAGCCCTCCCCCTGTTCCCTCTGGGTGGACGGAGACAGGTCTCTCCCTGGACGGCCGCCTATGGCCGGGTCTCTGCTGGGGATGGCTGCTGCAGCGCTGGAGTCCTTACAGGGGAAACCAGCTGGCTGTTGGCATGGCGACAGCCTCCGGGGGCGGGGCTTCTCCTTCTCACTGCTGGAGTCCGATAGCCTAAAGTCAGATTGGGAATGAGAGTAGAGTTACACATAAAGACACACTGGCCGACTAATCACTGAAAGCTTCTGCTCCCTTCTCCCATTTGACTGCCTTAGCTTAAAGCAACAGGCTTTTTATTGATCGATTAAATGATCTATTTTAACCTGAATTAAGTTATCATTCAAAAAGGAAAATGAGAAAATGTTGATAGAAAATTATCCAATTGCCACTAATTTTCTCCTTCCTAATTAAACCTGAAATGATTTCTGTTTGGAGGCTGATTTAGATTTCCTGAAGGTCTCAGAGGTTGCAGGAGAAATAAAGACCTTTAAAGTGAAATGCTGATTTGGATGCTGATGCTAACGTTTTAGCTTCCGAGTCAAGGTCCACTTAAAGATGAATGATGTTATGGTCTGAGGGGACAGAGCAACCACTGAAGATGCTATAGTTTGTTTGCCGGACCCTTGGCTGCCGCAGATGGGCTGACGTTAGTGCCAGCTGCCGCAGATGTGCCGACGCCAACCCCGGCTGCCGCAGACGGGCTGACGCTAGCCCCGGCTGCCGCAGACGGGCTGACGTTAGTGCCAGCTGCCGCAGACGTGCCGACGCTAGCCCCGGCTGCCGCAGACGGGCTGACGCTAGCCCCGGCTGCCGCAGACGGGCTGACGCTAGCCCCGGCTGCCGCAGACGGGCTGACGCTAGCCCCGGCTGCCGCAGACGGGCTGACGTTAGTGCCAGCTGCCGCAGACGTGCCGACGCTAGCCCCGGCTGCCGCAGAGGGGCTGACGCTAGCCCCGGCTGTCGCAGATGGGCTGACGTTAGCCCCGGCTGCTGCAAACGGGCTGACGTTAGCCCGTTTGCCACAGATGGGCTGATGTTAGCACCGGTTGCCACAGATGGGCTGATGTTAGCACCGGTTGCCACAGATGGGCTGATGTTAGCACCGGTTGCCACAGATGGGCTGATGTTAGCACCGGTTGCCACAGATGGGCTGACGTTAATCAGTTTAAAGCGGAAACTCACTGCGTGTGGTTCTGGATGGCGTTCCTCAGGGACCTAATCCAGGTCCGACGAGTCCTGGATGTTACAGCAGAGAGAGTGAACGCAGCTCCTTTTGTCTGAAAGGGAAGCAGAACATGAACAGTTAAACACGAGGCACTAATGATCTATGTGTGAATGCAGAAAATAGAAACATCTTTATGAATTTTCTTTGATTTGATCAAAGATAAACTTTAAAAACTAAGAAGGAACCTGAATCTGGAGTCCGTAGTTTTTCTCTGCGTCACATTCGGACACGCTCAGACAGGACGTCAGGTCGATCTCTCCATCCAAGTCATCTAACTTCAGAAGGAGAAGGGATTTTATTCTTAGGCCTACGGCCCAAAGAAAACCAATAGATAAAAGTATTCACACCCATAAAGCATTACAAACAGGTTTATTTCATCTCTTTCTATGTGTCAAAGTTAAAAACAACCTGATGAATGTGACGTGATTTTTCACCAAACGTTGTAACGCGCTAATTAATAATAAGCATAAAGATCCAGTAAGATTGTTATTCATGCTGGCGGTAAAGACACCCGGTTACGCTGATCGGAGGTCACTAAAATTAGTGTTGCTTCGGTGTGTAAGTTTGCTAAAACAACGTGGGACTCGGTAATTTTCTCTGGTCCCTCCCTGATCTGACCAGTGATGACATGTTTAGCTGCAAGTCGTTTTCCAGGTGGTGTCCTGAAAACAACGACACCCTCACCTGGACTGGAAACACCACCTCACTGGTCCAAAGGGCCCAGAAGCGCTTGGACTTCCTGCCCCCCCCATCCTCCCCACCTTCTCCAGAAGCACCATAGAGAGCGTTCTGACCCCCCCCATCCTCCCCACCTTCTCCAGAAGCACCATAGAGAGCGTTCTGACCCCCCCACCCCCCCACCTTCTCCAGAAGCACCATAGAGAGCGTTCTGACCCCCCCATCCTCCCCACCTTCTCCAGAAGCACCATAGAGAGCGTTCTGACCCCCCCATCCTCCCCACCTTCTCCAGAAGCACCATAGAGAGCGTTCTGACCCCCCCATCCCCCCCACCTTCTCCAGAAGCACCATAGAGAGCGTTCTGACCCCCCCATCCTCCCCACCTTCTCCAGAAGCACCATAGAGAGCGTTCTGACCCCCCCATCCTCCCCACCTTCTCCAGAAGCACCATAGAGAGCGTTCTGACCCCCCCATCCTCCCCACCTTCTCCAGAAGCACCATAGAGAGCGTTCTGACCCCCCCATCCTCCCCACCTTCTCCAGAAGCACCATAGAGAGCGTTCTGACCCCCCCATCCTCCCCACCTTCTCCAGAAGCACCATAGAGAGCGTTCTGACCCCCCCATCCTCCCCACCTTCTCCAGAAGCACCATAGAGAGCGTTCTGACCCCCCCCCATCCTCCCCACCTTCTCCAGAAGCACCATAGAGAGCGTTCTGACCCCCCCCCATCCTCCCCACCTTCTCCAGAAGCACCATAGAGAGCGTTCTGACCCCCCCCATCCTCCCCACCTTCTCCAGAAGCACCATAGAGAGCGTTCTGACCCCCCCCCATCCTCCCCACCTTCTCCAGAAGCACCATAGAGAGCGTTCTGACCCCCCCCATCCTCCCCACCTTCTCCAGAAGCACCATAGAGAGCGTTCTGACCCCCCCATCCTCCCCACCTTCTCCAGAAGCACCATAGAGAGCGTTCTGACCCCCCCCCATCCTCCCCACCTTCTCCAGAAGCACCATAGAGAGCGTTCTGACCCCCCCATCCTCCCCACCTTCTCCAGAAGCACCATAGAGAGCGTTCTGACCCCCCCATCCCCCCCACCTTCTCCAGAAGCACCATAGAGAGCGTTCTGACCCCCCCCATCCCCCCCACCTTCTCCAGAAGCACCATAGAGAGCGTTCTGACCCCCCCCATCCTCCCCACCTTCTCCAGAAGCACCATAGAGAGCGTTCTGACCCCCCCATCCTCCCCACCTTCTCCAGAAGCACCATAGAGAGCGTTCTGACCCCCCCATCCTCCCCACCTTCTCCAGAAGCACCATAGAGAGCGTTCTGACCCCCCCATCCTCCCCACCTTCTCCAGAAGCACCATAGAGAGCGTTCTGACCCCCCCCCATCCTCCCCACCTTCTCCAGAAGCACCATAGAGAGCGTTCTGACCCCCCCCCCCATCCTCCCCACCTTCTCCAGAAGCACCATAGAGAGCGTTCTGACCCCCCCATCCTCCCCACCTTCTCCAGAAGCACCATAGAGAGCGTTCTGACCCCCCCCCATCCTCCCCACCTTCTCCAGAAGCACCATAGAGAGCGTTCTGACCCCCCCCATCCTCCCCACCTTCTCCAGAAGCACCATAGAGAGCGTTCTGACCCCCCCATCCTCCCCACCTTCTCCAGAAGCACCATAGAGAGCGTTCTGACCCCCCCCATCCTCCCCACCTTCTCCAGAAGCACCATAGAGAGCGTTCTGACCCCCCCCATCCTCCCCACCTTCTCCAGAAGCACCATAGAGAGCGTTCTGACCCCCCCCATCCTCCCCACCTTCTCCAGAAGCACCATAGAGAGCGTTCTGACCCCCCCCATCCTCCCCACCTTCTCCAGAAGCACCATAGAGAGCGTTCTGACCCCCCCACCCCCCCACCTTCTCCAGAAGCACCATAGAGAGCGTTCTGACCCCCCCCCCCCATCCTCCCCACCTTCTCCAGAAGCACCATAGAGAGCGTTCTGACCCCCCCATCCTCCCCACCTTCTCCAGAAGCACCATAGAGAGCGTTCTGACCCCCCCCCCATCCTCCCCACCTTCTCCAGAAGCACCATAGAGAGCGTTCTGACCCCCCCATCCTCCCCACCTTCTCCAGAAGCACCATAGAGAGCGTTCTGACCCCCCCATCCTCCCCACCTTCTCCAGAAGCACCATAGAGAGCGTTCTGACCCCCCCATCCTCCCCACCTTCTCCAGAAGCACCATAGAGAGCGTTCTGACCCCCCCCATCCTCCCCACCTTCTCCAGAAGCACCATAGAGAGCGTTCTGACCCCCCCATCCTCCCCACCTTCTCCAGAAGCACCATAGAGAGCGTTCTGACCCCCCCATCCTCCCCACCTTCTCCAGAAGCACCATAGAGAGCGTTCTGACCCCCCCATCCTCCCCACCTTCTCCAGAAGCACCATAGAGAGCGTTCTGACCCCCCCATCCTCCCCACCTTCTCCAGAAGCACCATAGAGAGCGTTCTGACCCCCCCATCCTCCCCACCTTCTCCAGAAGCACCATAGAGAGCGTTCTGACCCCCCCCCATCCTCCCCACCTTCTCCAGAAGCACCATAGAGAGCGTTCTGACCCCCCCCATCCTCCCCACCTTCTCCAGAAGCACCATAGAGAGCGTTCTGACCCCCCCCATCCTCCCCACCTTCTCCAGAAGCACCATAGAGAGCGTTCTGACCCCCCCATCCTCCCCACCTTCTCCAGAAGCACCATAGAGAGCGTTCTGACCCCCCCATCCTCCCCACCTTCTCCAGAAGCACCATAGAGAGCGTTCTGACCCCCCCCCATCCTCCCCACCTTCTCCAGAAGCACCATAGAGAGCGTTCTGACCCCCCCATCCTCCCCACCTTCTCCAGAAGCACCATAGAGAGCGTTCTGACCCCCCCCCATCCTCCCCACCTTCTCCAGAAGCACCATAGAGAGCGTTCTGACCCCCCCATCCTCCCCACCTTCTCCAGAAGCACCATAGAGAGCGTTCTGACCCCCCCATCCTCCCCACCTTCTCCAGAAGCACCATAGAGAGCGTTCTGACCCCCCCCATCCTCCCCACCTTCTCCAGAAGCACCATAGAGAGCGTTCTGACCCCCCCATCCTCCCCACCTTCTCCAGAAGCACCATAGAGAGCGTTCTGACCCCCCCCCCCATCCTCCCCACCTTCTCCAGAAGCACCATAGAGAGCGTTCTGACCCCCCCATCCTCCCCACCTTCTCCAGAAGCACCATAGAGAGCGTTCTGAGCAGCTGTCTCACTGTGTGGTGTGGAGGCTGCAGCGCCTCAGACTGGAAGAAGGTGAGAACAGCAGAGAGGATCATGGGGGCTCCTCTTCCCTCCATTAAAGACATTTCATCCCAGCGCTGCGTGTCCCGTGACATCATCAATGACCCCTCACCCCCCCACCATGGACTGTTCTCCCTGCTGCCCTCTGGGAAGAGGCTTCCCAGCATTCAATGCAGGACCAGCAGGTTCTGCAGCAGCTTCTTCCCCGCCGCCATCACACTGAATAAACTCTAAATCACAGACTCTGCATCACACTGATGACACCAAACCAAATTACTGCATATCTGCACCTTTTATATTAATACTCTGAACTTCCAGATCAATTTTTTTTCTCCCTCACTGCTTTATTTGATCACTGCTGCACTTGAAGGAATGGAAAGGTGATTGGTATTCGCTGCTACCCCAGATCTGCTCGTTTTAATAAATGCTTTTTGAAGTAATTCCTCTGTCTGCCTTGCCTTGAACACCGGGTCCTCTGAGTCTTGCCTTCAGTAGGACTTTAGTACCGTGCTGCAAATATTGCAACAGCAAACAGAACTTCTTTCTCCGTTCCTCCAACATTATGTTTTTTCTTGGTTTTAAAGTAATCGAATAGTTTACAGTTTTGAGGGACATGAATACTTATGCAGGTTGCTGTGATTGTCAGTTTTGGTGACATGTCTTACCTCTTCAGCCTCTGAATCTCTATAGTATCTGAGGCAAGTATCACCAAGGACAAACCAGTGCCTGGTCCACTGCAGAAGGTCAGGAGATATAGACTTCATTAAACTTGGTTACAGGATCTTTGCACTCTTCAAAATCATCACATTTAAACATTCAAAATAACATTATTCATGGTAGAAAGAAATGAAATCTTAAAAATCATTCTAGTGTTTTCTAGAGTCATAGATCTTTAGGGCCTAGGGGGAAGGATATCTGTAGAGGTCAGTATTACAATGGCTCAAAGAAGCCTCTGACAGAAGATACTTCTCATGAAGAGTTTCCTGACGGCTGTGCTTCTCTTTATTTATTCAAGAGGAGTCCTCTGGTTAGAGCCGCCCTTCTTCATTATCTGGTCAAGCTTTTCTAGATTCTAATGCTGATTCTCCAGCAGACGATGGAAAAACCAATCACACCCATTGGTCAGAGGTACAGTCTGCTCTGCCCCCCATCAGGCCGTTTTAGGTTCAGTCTGATGTTCTCATGTCTTCTGGTTGATAAAGTTTATGTTTAAATGACACAAAGTTTGAGCTATTTGATCTGAGCGATAAAGAGGTTTTCAAATCTGTTTAACTGTGACTTGAACAATGTTTTTATTTAGTCTAAATCAGGCGTCCCACCCGCCGGTAGCTTTGGTCTTTATGATGAATAAACACTTTAAAATAGTTTTTAGGATGAATAAAGCTTCTAGAGCTGCACTTCTAACCCCTGATGAGAAATAACTTCCTGTACTGAAACTAAGCTCCTCAGTCATGGTGTGTTGCCTAAAAAGGGCATAGAAGAAACATCTTGTTGTCTTCTCTAAGTTCAAACCTTCTGACAGGAGGAATGAAGGTCCTTACCTTGCCTTGTTGGTCCAGCCTGGACATCCAGCCCTTCAACAGGCACCATCTGCAGTTGGAGGCAGACGGTTAGAAAGTCGTCTGTGGTTTAAGTCTCATTGAAACTAAAGGAAACGGAAACCATCAAGCAGACAAACGGACCCAACTGGCTTCGCTGCTGCAGCCTGAAACATGCATGAAGGTGACAGACTCTTAACGCTCTATAGAGAAAAGTTATAAAGGAGGAAATAAAACAGGAAGGTTTGTAGCTCGTGTGAACAGCGATCATCACTGTGGACAAAAGGAGAATGACTCAGTCTGAAAGCAAGCAGATAGTGTTCAGCCACCCGGATATACTCACCAAGCAAGATGTTGGGTCCGAATAGCATGAGGCAACGACAGATAAACAGAAGTTAGAAGGGAAGTAATGCACGGCATGCAGAGGGAAGAGGAAGCCACAGAAGCTTGGTCACGGCATCTTAGCATTTTATTCAGAAACGTCCTTAGAAGGGTTGATACTCATCATCCTCCACAGTAGAACATCTTTAATGTGGTTTCAGTTTTTATAGCATCAGTTTCAAACTGTCAGCTTCTTTTAAAAAGTGCTAAAAACTTACATCAGTTCTCCAGGGAAACAAGCTGTTTTCAATCTATTCTTGAATCCATTACTAATAATTAAACTTATTCACATGTTGCTCTAAAACAGACTGATGCCTTTTTATTCTGCTGTGAGCTTCAGGGACAGGAAGGTGACGGATGCTTTCAGGCGTCATGGGAATGTAAGGCATTTAACGATTTAAGGAAACTCACCTGCGTCTGCAGGCGCTCAGGATGAGATCGCTCCCTAACTTTCAAAGATCGCTGCCTTCCATTTTGATCCGAGGTCTTAGTCGAAAGAAAAAATAAGATTTTCACTGTTTGAACCTTTTGAAGGACGACTCTGCTGGCTTTTCTTTTACCTGTGCATGAAGGGAACCAGCAGATGGTCTCCGTGACGATCGTCCACTTTCAAGGTCTGGACATTTTTCTCTTCTGTCTCTCCCCCTCTCTCTGCCTCTCCTCCTCTCGTCTAACTTTAGTCTTGGACTATAGTCGTCTGTCTCATCTTGATGCCTTTAGAAAGAAAATAAGCTTCAGTACATTTTACAGTGAAATACCTGCAGCTGCATCAGGAGTGAAAAGGAGGTTAAAAAGGATTCATTGTTGAAGGCTGGAAAACGTCTAACACAGTTTTCAGATTTGTGTTTGTAAAAAATCTCCACATCCACGTAATAATACCCAAGCCAACCTGTTCACTGTGCTGAGCGCCAGATATTAAGAAATACCGTGAATTCTGAGCAAAAAGGAAAGATTTTCCACATAACTACAGATCACTGATTGTTACTCAGTAACATTTACTGTTCTATAAAAATTCAACATTTTATAACTTTGTTTCAGAGAAATCCTCTGAAAACGTCCAACCAATAGCTGCACCTGTCCTCATCTAACCCTGACATGGCTGCCTGTCCAAATTCTTTCAAAATCTCACTCCAAGGTTTGGTGAAAAGCTTGCAGCGTGTTACAGAGCTGCTATCCTTGCATTCGAGTCAATGAGTCGATGCAATCAGCTGGTTTTCCTTAGATAGAAAACTTTGAATCAATCTGACTGGATGATCTGGTTGAACTGGAAAGTGACCTGAGATGACATGATGTGAATTGGAGCTATAGAAATAAACTGAATCTAAACTGAATTTTGAACTTTCAGTTAGCAAAACTATTGTCTTCATCTAAGCCTTCAACTTGGATGTTAGATCCAGTTCCAACCAGGTTATTTAAGGAGGTATTCCCTTTGATCTCCTCCTCTATTCTAGATGTGATTAATCTATCTCTGTTACAGGGATATGTACCTAAAGCTTTTAAGGTTGCTGGAATTAAACCTCTGCTTAAGAAACCGTCTCTTGACCCAGATGACTTGGTCAATTATAGACCTATATCCAATCTTCCTTTCTTATCCAAAATTCTTGAGAAAGTAGTTGCCAAACAAGTTTGCGATCACTTCCACCATAATGAACTTTTTGAAGAGTTTCAGTCTGGCTTTAGAGCTCATCATAGCACTGAAACAGCTCTGGTGAAAGTCACTAATGATATTCTCATGGCCTCAGATAATGGACTTGTATCTGTGCTCGTCCTGTTGGATCTCAGTGCTGCATTTGATACAGTTGACCATAATATTCTTTTAGAAAGACTTGAATATTTTGTTGGAATTAAAGGAACAGCTCTAGACTGGTTTAAATCTTATCTATCTGATCAAATTCAGTTTGTTCATGTTAATGATAGATCTTCCTCATGCTCAAAGGTTACCTGTGGAGTACCACAGGGATCAGTGCTAGGACCAATTCTCTTTACTTTATACATGCTCCCAATCGGTAGAGTTATTAGCATGGGATTAATTTCCACTGTTATGCTGATGATACCCAGCTATATCTGTCTATAATCCAGATGAAGCTAACCCATTACATAGATTACAGGCATGTCTGAAGACATAAAAACCTGGATGACTCTTAACTTTCTGCTTCTGAATGCAGACAAAACAGAAGTTATAGTCTTTGGACCAGAGTCTCTGAAAAAGAAGCTGATTAGTCAGTCCAATCCAATCCAATCCAATCCAATCCAATCCACTTTATTTATATAGCACGGTTTAAATAAACACAAGGTTTCCAAAGTGCTGCACAAAAAGATAAAATAACTAAAATAAATAAAAGTAAATAAAATAAAAGCACTGCCCGCACAGCATAAAAATATGCATGTGTATACATAAAATCAACACTCTACATGGTGTTAAAAGCCAAAGAAAAGAGGTGGGTTTTAAGAAGAGTTTTAAAATGAGACAGAGAGGTGGCCTGTCTAATGTGCAGTCACTTCATTTGGATGGGATTAAACTGATTTCAGATAATAAAGTAAAAAATCTTGCTGTTTTTGATCAGGACCTATCATTTAAATCCCAGATCAAAGAGGTTTCTAGAATTTCCTTCTTTCATCTGAGGAATATTGCAAAAATGAGCAATCTCCTGTCCAGGGGTGATGCTGAGAAACTAGTCCATGCATTTGTTACTTCAAGGCTGGACTATTGTAATTCTTTACTATCAGGAAGTCCCCAAACTGTAGTTAAAAGCCTTCAGCTGATCCAAAATGCTGCAGCCAGAGTTCTGATGAAAATGAAAAAGAGAGATCATATCTCTCCTATCCTGGCTTCTCTTCATTGGCTTCCTGTTAAATCCAGAATAGAATTTAAAATCCTCCTTCTCACATATAAAGCCTTAAATGGCCAAGCTCCATCTGATATCAGAGATCTGATTGTTCCTTATGTTCCTAACAGAGCACTTCGCTCTCAATCTGCAGGTTTACTAGTGGTTCCTAGAATTTCTAAAAAGGATGAAGAGAGCACATCCAGTTAGTCACAGTCAGAGAAACAGGACTACACTGAAAAACAAGCCAAGCTCCAACAGCATTAGGAGAAAATTACTTCTCCTAATTCAGAAAATCAAGATGAAATAAAACCTCATGTGAGATGTTTGGTTGGAATTTTACTCAAATGCTAAATAAGTCTGCTGGAGGTTTCTTCCTGTTCAAAGGGAGTTTTTCCTCTCCACTGTCGCTACAAGCATGCTTAGTGTGAGGGATTGCTGAAGAGTCAATGAGTCGATGCAATCAGCTGGTTTTCCTTAGATAGAAAACTTTGAATCAATCTGACTGGATGATCTGGTGAACTGTGAAGTGCCTTCAGATAACATGATGTGAATTGGAGCTATAGAAATAAACTGAATAGAATTGAATAGAATTGAACTGAATCCTATGCTTGAGGAAAACCAAGCCCCTCGTTCACCAACCTGTATGATCTTTGTCTTTGGTTCCTGCAGGGACTAGGACTCTCATTTCTCCGTCTGATACCTGTGAAATCTTCCTCTGACTCTACTTGGATCTTGGGTATATCAGCCAGCATGATGTAGTCGTCTATGGTCATCCCAACCTTTAAGTTACAATGGAAAGTGGACAGTTAACATTTGTTGAAATGAAAATGACCAAATTAAAGAAATAATCCTGGTTTATTTACCTCTTCGGGGTCTACTATGGTCTTCTTCTGTTCTGGGAGCAACAGGGCATCCATTCCTCGCCTGACACTGCTATTGCTTCTGTCAGAACTGACCTTGATAATTGGGTCCACAGTGTCTGTTATCACACCTAGTGAAGGAGATTCACATACTGGCGAGTCCACTGACCATCCTGGCAGAGAACCTTGTGATGGAGGGCGGCTGAGTAAAGATCGGGAAACCTCCTGCCCAGAGCCATCTCCCTGGTTAGCATTAATGGTGTCTACAAAATATAATGGCGAAGCGCCCTGAGACTCGGCTCCATGTCTGGCTGAAGAGGAAGCTTGTGACTGGGGGCGACTGAGTAAATTGTGTGAAGACCCCTGCCAAGCTTCAACCCCGTCATTAGCCTTATCAGAGTCTAAGACTGCCACATGTGTAGGTGATCCCTCAAGATTATCGGAGCCTGCCCCGTCCCATCTGGATGATGGGGAACTATTCGATGATGGGAGATTCAGTAAAGAATGTGGAGACCCCTGCCAGGATCCTTGGGATTGACTCAACCTGTGGTCAGGCTCTCTTAGCGAGCCGTGACTCGGTAGACTGTAGGCCTTCCCGGATGCAGACACTTCTCGGCTATTGTAGGACAGAATGTTACCCAAACTGTTCACATGGGTTCTGCTTGGAGGAGACTCTAAAGATACTTTATATGAATTCTGCCTTTCTGCAGAAAAACAAAGACGAGAGATGGACTCAAGATTTCTGTAAAGTTTTTCAGAATCCAAACTGTGCTTGTTTGAAGCCTGTGACGGACTCCTGGACTCTCGACTGTACATCTTCTGGTCTTCATATTCAGGACTCTGTAACAGAACCGAATCTGTGCGTCTATGAGACGAGGCACTGTGAGAGGCCATGGACCATCTGCTGTGGGAAGGGCTGGATCCGCCTGACGTGCGGCGTGAAGGACCATTAGACTGAATTTGAAAGGAGTCTTTCAATGAGGAGCGAGACTGAGCCTGACTCCTACTGAGGGACCTCCCTCTCTGAGGTCCCACAGAAGCCGCTGGCATCCTGTAGCGGTCTGGACTCAAAGAGCTGTGACGCGATGGAGAGTTCTTCACAGAGTCAGTTCCTCGTCTGAAGTTGGAGTGGTACGTGTACCTCTGTGGGGACTCGCTTCTCCAAGTTGCCTGCATATATGTCTCTGGGTTTCGTCTTTGGGATGGCAGTCCAAGGCTTACATTCCGGTAGGGGACGCAGGCTTTGGGCTCAGGAATGTAGTTGCTTGGTAGGGGATGTCCTCTCTCATAATAGCGATAGGTACGCTTGGTGTCATCCTCCATCTGTCGCATTCCCACATCTGGAGAGAAGTAACCACTTTCTTTTTCCCTGCCACTTCTGGACTCTAAAAAAATCATACAAGCCTCTCATCATATTTTCTAACATGCAAAAGTGGCACATGGCAACCAAATGTTGTCAGGATAAAGGCATTGCACCGTGTTACAGACCTGAAGCACGGCGGGACATGTCTCGGGTCATTTCTGGTTGACCTGCAGGAGGCCTCTGAGGACTGAGGGATCGGTTCCTCTGCAGATCCTTCCACTGATTCGAAAAGCTGGAGAAAGACGCAATGCACCTCACAATGGCCTGCAAAAGTATTCAACCAACAACTTGGAAGATGTGTTATGTTTTTGTTTGGAGGTAAACAACAAACTGTACTTGCAAAACTGTTCGCTCAATGTAGTCACAGACATCCCAAGTCTCCCTGAAGTTCCCGGGAGTCTCCCTGATATAGATAGTTGTTCATGGATGCCCACAATCGGAAAATTATCCCAGATTTTATACGCTGTGGTGTTTTTTTCAATGCCAGTGAGAGCGAACAGGCAATACAATCATTCATGCACCATGTGTGTATTAGAACTACTTAAACTGCGAAGACAACATAAGAGAGGGGGGTGTGGGGAGGAGGGGGGTGTGGGGAAACCTGTCTGTCCAAAGCAATGCTCTGTTCCACCAGCATTCCAGGCGACAGGCTGTCAGAGAGTGCTGATTGGTTTAGTCCAGTAAGTTTTGGTTTACTCTCTGGCTATGGGGCCAACATTGTTGCTTTATTATTTGCAAATGTGTGGAGAGTTGTGTATCTGTATCTAGATTTGTGTGCAGTGGGATTTGGAAATGTGTAGATCAATCTGTAAACAAACACAGAGACACTATGTCTGAAGTATTTTCGGTTCAAGACCCAGAAATACAGACAAATCATTGGTTACCAGTCCAGCGGTTTCTCGGTTGGCTCTTAACAGACCTGATTTTTGCTACACTTCTGCCGTGTGAGATCCGCGAATGTGTAGATAGGATTTGTATGTGTAATCTGGATTTGCTGCCCTGAGCGCAGGCTCGCAGGCTGCCTCTTCCTGCTGTGGGAGTTCAGCACAAATTGCTGCACCTACACACACATACCACCAGGTGGCGGTATTGTACTCTACGTGACATTACTGCAGCAGGGCCGATTTCAATTCACCGGCCACTACGTACAGTGTTGCCAACTCAGCGACTTTATCGCTATATTTAGCCACTTTTCAGACCTCTCCAGTAGAGACTGACATTCTTTCGGGAATCCCACGGGTCACGAGATTCCCGTGGGATGGGAGTCAGTATTAGTAACGATCACGTGATTGGGACGGTACAGGATTAAACATTACAGGAGCAGACGGCAGCGGGAGCAAACCAACAGCAACTAAAAAAATTAGGATCGATGCCAAAAAAAAAATAAAATAGAAAGAAAAAAAATCCAGTACTGGCGCCGCCATTTTGTAGTTTTTTTCTGTGAAGCCTACACTATAATGCGAGTAAAAAAAACTACACGACCCAAAAACCAACAGTGCTTCTGCTCTGAGTTTTTCACCCGCGCTTAAAAACAACAAGAATGGGAGCGGTGCAGGAGCGGTCATTCTGAATGGGAGCGGGACGGGAGTGGGAGTAATTTCTCCAGGAGTGGGACGGGACAGGATTTAGATTTCTACGCTGGCCAGGGATCGGGACGGGACACCATTTTTTTCTGTGGGAGTGGGACGGGACAGGAGTGAAAATCCACTCCCGTGTCAGTCTCTACTCTCCAGCGATTCTTTTTCAAAAAAGTGACTAGTGACAAATCTAGCAACTTTTCTGGCGTCACTGGCGGCTTTAAGCGACTCTTAGTAGCGACTCTTAGTAGAAAGCACGTATCGTTCCTACTCTTGTCCTCCAGCGGCAGGTGATGCCGTTGGGCGCCTCCCCCGTCCCAACCCCGTCCTCCCGCTCTGCAAGAGTCCTTCTCAGCGCTGCAGTCAGAGCCGCAGCATGTTTACCCTCAGCGTCCAGACTGACGGGATTGACTGAGCAGGTTGATCACGCTGGCGTCAGCTCCTTGACCAACATGACGATGATCCACTGTTTCTATGAGCAGGCAAGCGCAGCCTGTGTGTGTGGAGGGAAATCTTATCAGTTTAAAAATAATATTAATTATTTGTTCAGATTGTCATTGATTCTTTGTAGTCTTTTTTGTTCCATTTAGATTGTTAATGTTAATGTAATGTAAAAAATGTTATGGTTCAAAATGTTCATGTTTTACCATGATTTGTAGGCTCTTTAATGGACCACAAGGGGAAAAACTCTACCATAGTGCCTCTTTATTCACTTTGCCGGTCCCAAGCCCGGGTAAACGAGGAGGGTTAGTATTGTAATAAAACAAATATTAATTTAAAAAACCAAATAAATTAAATAAACATTAACGCATAGAAACAGTAGCTCTATATATTCTTAGTGTTTGACTCTCTCTAACCTTGTTATTTCTCCCAAAGCGCCATTAACACTCACATCACATCATGTGCCAGATTATGCAACTTAGGCAATGACATCATTCAGCGACTTCTAGCACAGCCAGTAGCTACTTTCCTTACTGAGGAGTAGGCAACACTGACTACACAGCAACTATGGTGACAGTCTGTGCTGCATAGTGGGTGATGCCAGCAGAGACTGACCCCTTAGTGGCAGCGTACTGGCCGGTGAATTGAACTCCGCCCTGCTGCGGTAATGTCACGTACAGTACAATACCGCCACCTGGTGGTATGTGTGTGTAGGTGCAGCAAGTTGTGCTGAATTCCCGCTGCAGGAAGAGGCAGCGTGTGAGCCTGCACTCAGGGCAGCAAATAAAGATATTACACATACAAATCCTTTATGCATTTGCAGATCTCACACGGCAGAAGTGTAGCAAAAATCAGGTGTGTAAAGAGATCCAACCGAGAAACCGCTCGACTTGTAACCAATGATTTGTATGAATTTCTGTGTCTTGAAGTGAAAATACTTCAGACATAAATGTCTCTGTGTGCTTAAAGATTGAGCTACACATTTGCGAATTGCAATACATATTTGTAAATCTGAATACAGATTTTTTAATTTTTGACACATTTGCAAACCGGATTACACAAACAGTACTTTTACACATTTGCAGATTGTTTTACAGACACACAAATCTCCTCACACATTTTCATTTACACATTTTCAAATCCCACTGCACACAAATCTAGATACAGATACACAACTCTCCACACACATTTACAAATAATAAAGCAACAGTTCTGGCTCCATGTCTGGCAGTCACCTAATTACCACTCAAAGCAGTGCATCCTGGGAAACGGCAGAGGTTCAATCCTCCAGTAAAAAAACTAAATATAGGACTAATTTTACAGCAGAATATACTAAAGTAAATCCACGTCTAGAGAAGGGGAGGAACAGTGGCGGTTCTAGACCAAATGGACCAGGGGGCCAGGAGGGGGCCAGCGTGTTTCCATGGGGGCCCAGAAAAATAAAAATAAAACCAGGGCAAGAGATTCAAATATATTAACAGAGCTGCATGAAGGGAAATTTCTATTCAATTAGGTTCAATAAAAATTATATGTCTTATGAGGTTAATATACATTCATAATTTAGGAATTTTAGATATTTTTCACTTAATTTAAATAAACATTACAGTTTTCTATAAAATCTGAATTACAACTCAGGAAAAACTGTAGCTGTAAAGATTAGAGCATTTTTTTTATTTGTTTTGAAAAACAAACTTTTAGCAGATAAAAACTGGGATCCTATCTTAATCCCACTGAAACTATCACCTTATTGTATTTAAATAATTAGTAAAACTGAATATTTAAAGGACAAAAAAAGGAAATAGATCCAAAGGACCTATTAGTACCGATGTCTGTTCCAGCGCAGATCATCGTTAGAACTTCTTTGAGAGTTACGCCTTCAGTGCAGCGGCTATTACAGGGACAGGTTGGTTATTTTCCTTAGCATCTCCCTAAAATTAGTTTTTGGAACTTGGGATGTCGGTAGTCGGCACTTTGTAGAGCTTCCTCTTGTGGCAGTTAGATCAGCAGGTTGCTTTAGTCTATGAGCTTTCCATTACTTTCCACCAGGAATTTCCCAGGGAACATTCTTAGTTTTAGCTCCTGAACTTTAAGTCTAACCACTGATTTTGAAATGGGTTGAGGTCTGGACTCTGACATGGGCACCTTTAAATGTTCCCCTTAAATCTCCTGAGTGTTGCTTTTACAGCATCCTTAGGGTAATTATCTAGTTTAAAGGTGAACTATGACACCACCATGTTTCACCGTGTCAGCAATGTGTTTGCAGCAGATATATTGTTTTCCTTGGTGGTCAATAATTTCAACTTTGGTCTGAATTCAAACACATCAATTTAATGAAGGACTCTTCATTAAAAGTGGATTAGCATCAGGATTGACCACAATGAATGCTGTCCGAATAGTGCATGCATTAAGGAAGGAGGTAGGAAAAGGAGTCTGTATGCTTCCTATTATAGTTCCTTTAGCATCACAGGCCATCTCATTCCAATCTGATGGATTTGGGTTCAGCCACAGTCTGCTTTGAATGGGGCACCTTTCTCCATACAGGCCCTTTGGTAAACTAAAAATGTTTCCTTCATTTCCAAACCAAGTGATGACCTTCCTAAGCCACTCTTCACTAAAGCCAAGTTCTATGCAATGGACACTTCCTCTGGCGCTCTGATTAATTACTTCTTATTACCCTGTCAGTGTGTTTTAGTGGCAGGGTTTGTTTTGGTACCAAATTGCAGAATCTCCACCATAGGAGGAGAGACCGGATCCCAAACTGAGCTTTGACCTTAAAAAAGCAACCTTTATATCTGACCTTAGGTCCCATCCCATTCTAAATCCAGTATGATTTAGTCCATCCTATAGCAGCTTCAACTCTTTTGGGAAGGCTGACCACCAGGTAAGCGTCTACTGGATATTTTATCCAGTACATGATAGAGTGATATAAGTTATTCTGGGCATCACAGCATCTCATTTACATGCAGAGTGTAAGGTGAACAGCATGAAGCAGCATGGAGAGGTCCTGCCTTGTTTCCCATCGTCTCATACTGAACTTCTGCGGCTTAATGAGGAGCGTCAACCAATCAGAAGACACTACATATTAGCAGCAACTGCTTCTGCAGAGCTGCCGGCATCTAAAAAAGGATTATGTAACGTGGGGTTATACTCCGCTGGTATTTTTATCTGAACATGTACGCTTTGAAAGGTTTCCTTACAATTTCCATCGGAAGCATATGTTGCAGCTTTTGTGTTTCCTCGCTCCTCAAAGCAAATGAAGCCAAGCCACTTTAGATGCAACCAAAGACCAGAACGGCGAGGATCCCGAACTCTAAAGGCACCTTTTAAAAAGGCGATAATTGTGAACGCAGCACGTCTTTATGTGGGAAAGCCTAGTTATGGCATAAAAGCTTTGCCAAATGTTTCTATGGTGACTCCTGAATACAGAAAAACTGAAAAGGACACCAACGAAGGTCTAGACGTAAACTCTGTGCTCAAAGACGGATGATGGCTGACATCCGGGCTCTGAGCACCGCCGCACGGCCATGTTGGAAAAGGAAGGAGCCATATCTCTTTACTTTATACATGCTCCCAATTGGTAGAGTTATTAGACAGCATGGGATTAATTTCCACTGTTATGCTGATGATACCCAGCTATATCTGTCTATAAATCCAGATGAAGCTAACCCATTACATAGATTACAGGCATGTCTTGAAGACATAAAAACCTGGATGACTCTTAACTTTCTGCTTCTGAATGCAGACAAAACAGAAGTTATAGTCTTTGGACCAGAGTCTCTGAAAAAGAAGCTGATTAGCCAGTCACTTCATTTGGATGGGATTAAACTGATTTCAGATAATAAAGTAAAAAATCTTGGTGTTATTTTTGATCAGGACCTGTCATTTAAATCCCATATCAAAGAGGTTTCTAGAATATCCTTCTTTCATCTGAGGAACATTGCAAAAATTAGAAATCTCCTGTCCAGGGGTGATGCTGAGAAACTAGTCCATGCATTTGTTACTTCAAGGCTGGACTATTGTAATTCTTTACTATCAGGAAGTCCACTGTAGTTAAAAGCCTTCAGCTGATCCAAAATGCTGCAGCCAGAGTTCTAATGAAAATTAAAAAGAGAGATCATATCTCGCCTATCCTGGCTTCTCTTCATTGGCTTCCTGTTAAATCAAGAATAGAATTTAAAATCCTCCTTCTCACATATAAAGCCTTAAATGGCCAAGCTCCATCTTATATCAGAGATCTGATTGTTCCTTATGTTCCTAACAGAGCACTTCGCTCTCAATCTGCAGGTTTACTAGTGGTTCCTAGAATTTCTAAAAGTAGAATGGGAGGCAGATCTTTTAGTCATCAGGCTCCTCTCCTGTGGAACCAACTACCAGTTTTAGTCCGTGAGGCAGACACCCTGTCTACTTTTAAGGCTAGGCTTAAAACTTTCATTTTTGATAAAGCTTATAGTTAGGGTGGCTCAGGTTATCCTGAGCTATCTCGATAGTTATGCTGCTATAGGCTTAGACTTTTGGAGGACATAGGGATCCCCATTTCATCATTCTGCTTCATTCTCTCTCTGTTCTCCTATTCTGCAGAATCTGTTAGTTCAATCTCTAACCTTCTGCTCTCTCTGCTTTTCCTCAGAGTAGCTTTGCCTCGTCTGTTCCTGTTTGGCTGTGACGTCATCCTGGAAAGAAACATCAGCTGTGCTGCTTCCATCAACACCGTTGTTTATAGATGTTGGAGATCGGCCTGTTTTCCAGTGTAGTCCTGTTTCTCTGACCGTGACTGAGTGGATGTGCTCTCTTCGTCCTCTGGCATGGGAGCTGCCTTGGAGCTTGTCTGCCTGGCTGTGTGTTTCCTGGACGGGGCCGCCTTTTACAGCTGCTTTTTGTATCTCTGCTTCTGTCTCCTTGAACCCCAGTCGGCCTCGGCAGATGGCCGCTCACACTGAGCCTGGTTCTGCTGGAGGTTTCTTCCTGTTAAAAGGGAGTTTTTCCTCTCCACTGTCGCTACAAGCATGCTTAGTGTGAGGGATTGTATTTGAGTCAATGCAATCAACTGGTTTTCCTTAGATAGAAAACTTTTTATCAATTTGACTGTATGATCTGGTTGAACTGTAAAGTGCCTTGAGATGACATGTGTTGTGAATTTGGCGCTATATAAATAAACTGAATTGAATTGAATTGAATATCCAAATAATAAAAACCCCACAGCATAATACCTCCTCCACCAAACTTTTGATCCAACTATAGTTTGAAAGTTTTCGCTCTATTGTTACATTTCTACATCACAAAAACCTATATTATGGTGGTGTGTTCACTAGTGATATAAGTGTAGGTGAAGTCATTGAAATGCGTGACGGGGTCACCTGGGTTGGATGTCAGCAGCTTCACGGTTCTCAGGTTCCCAGTCGGGACTCGGGCTGCGTTCCAGATTCCACTCAAAGTTCCAACCTTCACTGGAATCATCGCTGCTGCCGCATGTTGTCACCGCCGACGACGCTGGATCACCATCATCCTCATCTTCATCGCTCTTATTGTCCCCTTCAGCCTGGTTCATTGGAATGATATCAATTATAAAACCAACTTCTGTGGCTAAACTGTTTAAAATAATAGAAAAACATCTCAGCATTTTTTAACCCAGCCTGATAGTCTCTAGTTGCATAGCTCTATATGAGGCTAAATACTCACTGTGATGAGTTTGGTCCTTTGTTATATCTGCTGCTCTGCTGCTTCTACCTTCGCCTCTCATTCACTCTGGTGTTGGAGCTAATTCACTTAGACACCAGAGGACGTAACTCAAGCTAGTCTGAGTTCAAACTCATCATTATTTCATTGCTCCGGTGCCTTTGCACGACCAGCAACGCCCATTTTTAGCTTTAAATTTCCTTCATCTCATCTTGAGTCTAAGAAACATAAATATTTCCTCTCATTGTACTTTCAGGGTCTCTTTATTTAACTGCTGATGATGCTGCAGGGGATGTTTGCATCATCAGCTTGTCATCCGTTCCCTGAAGGCTGCAACAAGCTTTCATTAATTAATGATAAAATCATCAAATGCTACGGTGTCCATCTCTCTCCATCTGCTACGTACATCCTGGCCAGCCAGGGTTCCCCCCCCTTTTTGTTTTTGGATGCACAGGATGGGTGGCCTGCCGGTGCTGGGGCCGTCATTTCTGCTCTCCCCAAAGGAGGGTGGAGGGAGGGGCAAATGGGGTATTGAGGCGTAGGAAGTGGCCCTGTGAATTATTTTGGGGGGGGGGGATTCTGGTTGGGTGGCCTGTGCGGGAGAAGTGGGCTCCGTTCTGGTGGGGGGGCTTCTGCTGGGGGTTGTCTGGTTCGGGTGCGGGGTGGGGGTCAGGCTCGAAGCAGGAACTAGATGAGTTAGTATGGCGGTGACACCGCCCCCCCCCCCATGGTGCACTGGTGGATGCCCAGGCAGACACTGGCTTATTCCTGGCGACTGTCCCCCGGGGCCTGGCCAGGGCTCCCACTGGGGGGTGGGGCCTTTGTTCTTGGGGTCCCTCTGAGTGTCTGGGGCTTTGGGTCCCTCAGCGCTTCAGCAATAGTATCTAGGTGTTACTTGTTGTATCTTTTACACTATATCTGTTGGTTGTGCTGTTCTTCTTCCATCTCTTTGCAGGTGATGAAGCAGACTGAAGATATTTTATCATTATCTCCCTTTTATCTCCTCTTTCTTTCATCTTTTTTCCTGTTTTTCCTTTCCTGTTCTACTTCCATTGCAGTGTCCATATAATCTCTAAGACTCCAAGCATGAATTATAATAAAGCTATTTATATGCATAAATCAGGCTGATCACTATGGCGATAGCCATACTGCTCCACTTGTGAAAGTAAAATCTGTTGGGCTCTTTTTGGCATCAAGACAATTATTCTTATTGGAACATCGCCAGACAGGACACTAAAAGAAAAAAAAAAAAAAAAAGATCATCTGCTGTTCAGGGGTGGAGCTAGATGGGGGGGCCAGGGTGACCCTTAGCCAATCATTGGCCACCCCTGTGGCCACCCCTACCATTTTTTTCCTCTAACACAGATGGTGGCAACAGTCAGAACTACATTTTAAGTTATATGGGGTAAAGAGAAAACAAGTAACTATTTTAATAAAAACATATTAAATATTCCATTTATGTAGATATTAGTAGAGCAAATATCGCTCCACAGGCCTGTGGGAGTCCTTCCTAGTCTGGAAAAATAGTTTACTGCTGTATAAGAGGACCCTTTGTAAAGCAAGAGCAGGATACTTCTCCTTATTAATAGAGGAGAATAAGAATAATCCTAGATTTCTTTTTAATCCAGTTGCCAAACTCACCCCGAGCCATAGCTCTGTTGAACCGTCCATTCCACCTGCTCTTAGCAGCAATGATTTTATGGGATTCTTTATAAATAAGATTGATCATATTAAAAATAGGATCATTAGCACTCCTCTATCCGCGATTGTACCTGAGGTAGTCATGGAGTCTGAACCGGGTTTAGACTGCTTTGATCCAGTTGAACTTTCAGAGTTAGCAAAATTATTGTCTTCATCTAAGCCTTCAACTTGTATGTTAGATCCAGTTCCAACCAGGTTATTTAAGGAGGTATTCCCTTTGATCTCCTCCTCCATTTTAGATGTGATTAATCTATCTCTGTTACAGGGATATGTACCTAACTAATGATATTCTCATGGCCTCAGATAATGGACTTGTATCTGTGCTCGTCCTGTTGGATCTCAGTGCTGCATTTGATCCAGTTGATCAGAATATTCTTTTAGAAAGACTTGAATATTTTGTTGGAATTAAAGGAACAGCTCTAGACTGGTTTAAATCTTATCTATCTGATCGAATTCAGTTTGTTCATGTTAATGATAGATCTTCAACACGCTCAAAGGTTACCTGTGGAGTACCACAGGGATCAGTGCTAGGACCAATTCTCTTTACTTTATACATGCTCCCAATTGGTAGAATTATTAGACAGCATGGGATTAATTTCCACTGTTATGCTGATGATACCCAGCTATATCTGTCTATAATCCAGATGAAGCTAACCCATTACATAGATTACAGGCATGTCTGAAGACATAAAAACCTGGATGACTCTTAACTTTCTGCTTCTGAATGCAGACAAAACAGAAGTTATAGTCTTTGGACCAGAGTCTCTGAAAAAGAAGCTGATTAGTCAGTCACATCATTTGGATGGGATTAAACTGATTTCAGATAATAAAGTAAAAAATCTTAGTGTTATTTTTGATCAGGACCTGTCATTTAAATCCCAGATCAAAGAGGTTTCTAGAATTTCTAAAAGTAGAATGGGAGGCAGATCTTTTAGTTATCATGCTCCTCTCCTGTGGAACCAACTACCAGTTTTAGTCCGTGAGGCAGACACCCTGTCTACTTTTAAGGCTAGGCTTAAAACTTTCCTTTTTGATAAAGCTTCTAGTTAGAGTGGCTCAGGTTATCCTGAGCTATCTCTATAGTTCTGCTGCTATAGGCTTAGACTGCTGGAGGACATAGGGACCCCTTTTTCATCATTCTGCTTCATTCTATCTCTATTCTCCCACTCTGCAGAATCTGTTAGTTCAATCTCTAACGTTCTGCTCTCTCTGCTTTTTCTCATAGTAGCTTCATCTGGTCTGTTCCTGTTTGGCTGTGACTCCATCCTGGAGAGAAATATCAGCTGTGCTGCTGCCATCAACACCTTTGTTTCTAGATGTTGGAGCTTGGCCTGTTTTCCAGTGTAGTCCTGTTTCTCTGACTGTGACTAACTGGATGTGCTCTCTTCATCCTCTGACATGGGAGCTGGCTCGGAGCCCGTCTGCCTAGCTGTGTGTTTCCTGGACGGGGCCGCCTGTGGAGCTGGTTGACAGTTGCCTTTTGTATCTATGCTTCTTTTTCTATGTCTGCTTCTGTCTCCTTGAACCCCAGTGGGCCTCAGCAGATGGCCGCTCACACTGAGCCTGGTTCTGCTGGAGGTTTCTTCCTGTTCAAAGGGAGTTTTTCCTCTCCACTGTCGCTACAAGCATGCTTAGTGTGAGGGATTGTATTTGAGTCAATGAGTCGATGCAATGAGATGACTTGTGTTGTGAATTAGCGCTATATAAATAAACTGAATAGAATTGAATTGAACTCTGAACAAAGACACGGCTAATCAGCTGATATGGAGCAGATGTGGATGGAGGAGACTAGAAAGGAGCTAGGGGAAAGGAAACAGGCACAAGGGGGCAGCAAAGAGCAAATGCAGACTTTTTAAACATACATAAAATGGTAAATAAACCAAAGATCAACAAAACAGAATAACTGAAAACTGAAAACCAAAAACTCAAAGTCCCAAAACGGGAAAACCATAACAAGTTATTCTTTAGGTTTTCCATGGGTTCAGTTATCTCCAGTTCCTTCTATTCTCCAGTTTTCTGCTTGGAAATTCTTTATTTAGTCATTAGTTTTATTCTTTAGCTTCATTGAAGTTCTTTTCTTGTTCCGGTTAAACCTTGTTGTTTCCCCTGGTTATTTTCTTCCAGTGCGAAGCTTTTTTTTTCTGCCTAATGAGGAGCAATGAGAGGAAGCAGGAGTTTATATAAAGGCCTTTAGAGGACAGCATTGACCTATTGTTCTAATAAACCAAGACACCATTAAACCTAAATGCTGGATTCACTCTGAGCAGGAATAAGGCCGAGGCTAAATAGACCGACATAGATGCAGTAAATGATGTGTTTTTTTCATTCAGGAACAAGCTGAATTTCAGAGCTTTGAACTCAACAGGGAAAAATATTGGACCTATAAAAGAATTCACATTAAAAATGAAGCAGGGAACTTAAAAACCTGCTTTATTGAATCTTTGGTGAGAAAAAACTATACGGATCCAGTTAATACTGACCAAAACTAATCAAGATGCTAACATGACTAAAACAAATAAAAACATCAAAGCTTTGGTTCATTTCTGACAAACCAGACAATAGAAAATGTTCTGGATTCAAGCTTCTATCTTTAACTAACAGCAACATTATGAATCCTGCATTAACATCTAAACATGTTGAGCCATTAAAACTTAATACTTCCTAGAATTTTAAAGTTTCAAAGAGAGGAAAAAACATCACAGCATGCATTTTATTCACTGCTATGAAGCTTCATGAAAACCAAATCCAGTTTACATCGTCCTTCACATAAGGGATTCAGTTTATTAAAGTTGAAATTACTTTATTGTGCCCAAAAGGAAATTTGTTGTTTGTAAATCATGTTTTTAGGGGAGAAAACTGCAGCTGACTGCCAGGCAGAAAATAAAACTATCAGAGGAAAGGAGCTGAGAAACGAGCTGAGACTAGGAGGAAATTATTTTCAGATCAAAGCACATTAGGATAACATGAAAGTCAAAAAGCAAACCTAAATAAAACAGAAGCTGGACTTCACTGAAGCTTTCCATCCAATATTCCTTAAAGAACAATCTTTAGCAGTCCGTAGAGGAAGGGAAGCGACACCTTAGAAGACTTGCAGTAAAAAGTATTTCAGCGACTCGTTAACCTAATATCAGTTTCCTTCTGCTAATTTGGGTTTGCTATAATATAAGATTATATAGAAATACATTAAACAGTTTAAAAATAGTTAACAATTTTAAATATTTAGGGGTACACATTTCTTCAGATCTTGATCAGGTTGTTGTGACCAATTCTAAACATAAATTGAACGAAGGAGATAGTGAAAGATGGATGCCGTTACAAGAATCTATGATTGGAAGAATACATATAATAAAAAATGAATATATTGCCAAAGTTACTCTATATATTTCAGAATGTTACTCTTTCACCTCCGCCTGAATTCTTCTCACAAATTAAGAAAAAGATGTAACGTTTCCTATGGACCAACAGGAAGTCCAGTAACGTGTCCTATGGACCAACAGGAAGTCCAGTAACGTTTCCTATGGACCAACAGGAAGTCCAGTAACGTTTCCTATGGACCAACAGGAAGTCCAGTAACGTTTCCTATGGACCAACAGGAAGTCCAGTAACGTTTCCTATGGACCAACAGGAAGTCCAGTAACGTTTCCTATGGACCAACAGGAAGTCCAGTAATGTTTCCTATTGACCAACAGGAAGTCCAGTAACGTGTCCTATGGACCAACAGGAAGTCCAGTAATGTTTCCTATGGACCAACAGGAAGTTCAGTAACGTTTCCTATGGACCAACAGGAAGTCCAGTAATGTTTCATATGGACCAACAGGAAGTCCAGTAACGTGTCCTATGGACCAACAGGAAGTCCAGTAACGTTTCCTATGGACCAACAGGAAGTTCAGTAACGTTTCCTATGGACCAACAGGAAGTCCAGTAACGTGTCCTATGGACCAACAGGAAGTCCAGTAACGTTTCCTATGGACCAACAGGAAGTTCAGTTACGTGTCCTATGGACCAACAGGAAGTCCAGTAATGTTTCATATGGACCAACAGGAAGTCCAGTAACGTGTCCTATGGACCAACAGGAAGTCCAGTAACGTGTCCTATGGACCAACAGGAAGTCCAGTAACGTGTCCTATGGACCAACAGGAAGTTCAGTAACGTTTCCTATGGACCAACAGGAAGTCCAGTAACGTTTCCTATGGACCAACAGGAAGTCCAGTAATGTTTCCTATTGACCAACAGGAAGTCCAGTAACGTGTCCTATGGACCAACAGGAAGTCCAGTAACGTTTCCTATGGACCAACAGGAAGTTCAGTAACGTTTCCTATGGACCAACAGGAAGTCCAGTAATGTTTCATATGGACCAACAGGAAGTCCAGTAACGTGTCCTATGGACCAACAGGAAGTCCAGTAACGTGTCCTATGGACCAACAGGAAGTCCAGTAACGTTTCCTATGGACCAACAGGAAGTTCAGTAATGATGTTCTATTACAGTAATAATTCTCCACATTGGACTGATATGGAGACTATATTCAAATTCAATATTAAAACTTCTGGAATATAAAAAAAAATCTGTATCTTAATAAACATGATAAGAGTATGAAGAGATGTAAAAAGAAATATGAAAGAAATTGTCTGTCTTTGTTCAGAGGGGAAACCAGTTTTTTGTACCTGGAAGAACTGATCCAACATTCAAAGTCTGGAAAGACAAAATACTTCAAATGATTTAGAATCTTTATGAACCAAACTCAGACATACTTACAGAAGAAATGAAGGAGTTTTTATAAACTTAAGTTTGCTTAATGCGAAGAGATGTGCATCAATGTTTTGGAAAAACAGACCGACTATAAACCAACGGCTGCAGCAGATGTTTTCTGTTCTCCTTCTGGAATAAATGATGTAAATATTAAAGGGTAAACAGGACCTGTTGAGTCTATCTGGAATTCTTTCATTAATTATGTTGGGAATGTGATTATCTCAGAAGACGGTGAAAGTGAGTGAAGAACATGTGAACTGCAGTTCCTAAAGACAGTTTATTTCAGGACACATAATGTCAAATCTAATTCTCACTATAAGAGGTTAAGCACGAAATATGATCAGTCGCATTGGAATCAGTATGTTTGAGGCAATTTGTTGTTGGTTTTTTTTGTCTTTTATTTTGAACTGAGCAGTAACACTACTACTGCTTTGGTCATATTTTGTATATTGTTCAAGATGTTTGTTAAAACAAATACATAAACATGCATAGCTTTAATATGGCCGGGCTCAAAGGGCGTGAATACTTTTATAGAAAGACTATAATGTGAACATCAATCCAGAGCAGAGGGACTCAGTAAATCTGAATTTGTCTGATGGATTTAAAGTTTCCCCTAAAGCTTATAATGTAAACTAATTCTATTTGATAAATGGGATTAATTTCTTTGTTTTTATGCTGAAATCTTAGATGAATGAAAGCTGAGCTGTAGATCAGGCATACCTGCTCATGGAGATTGTCCAGTTCTGAAGCATTTTCCACTGCGGTGCCACTGAAGTGCATATGATTCGGCCGCAGGCACGAGCTGCAGCGGGAGGGGTCAAAGGCATTGGGCTGGAACCGGCAGCAGTAACGGTCTTCAGCAGGGGGCGCCATGCTGATCCTCATTCTGGTTTATCTGGAACTTCAGCCTCTGATTGACTTGATTAAAAAAAAAACTGCTGTAATGTTATTTCCCAGGATAACAAACCTCATGATAAAAAGCTGAATTATTAGCTGTAATTCGACAGGTTTAAGACCTTTCAGATGTATTTGAAACGCGTATATGTTTTCAGAGTTACTAATTCTAGATAAAGTTAATAGCCTTTAGCTGAAGCAGACGGCTAAATAGATCCTCAGTTGCTTTTGTCATCAAAACAACATAAAAACATTGAGTGAAAAGCAAAAATGTCGTTACCTGCAGGTGATCCAGGCCTAAATTAAAAATCTCCACAACAATCATTATTTGGAAGGACTCCAACAGGCAGGAAGGCTGTAGGTTGACTGAGGGAGTGTATCAGGGGTTGAATCTTTTATGGAAAATAGCCTCAAACCTTCACTGTATCTCACCTGGTGTCAAAACAGAGTAGCCTATCAGGTAACATCCTCCGAAGAAAAGAGAAACCTGCTACCAACTCTTCAGAACAGGTGCTTTATGGACAAAGCTGCACAACAGCTGCTAATCTGATGGCGATTGACTCGTCTTTCTTACTGTCATTATTCTACAACAGAATAAAACCAACAATAACTTCTGTAAAGAGGACTGACCTCTGATTTTAGGAATAATTTTTAAATTAAAGTTGAACAAGAATTGATTTGATTGGAAAATTATGTCAAAAGAAAACAGAAATTCTTAAAAAATAAAAATCAACTAAAACATGTTATCTGCTATGTTTAAAATTGAACTCTTTTGGTATATCGTTTTAAATTATACATGCATGTAATATTTACTTTGTTTTATTAGTAACAAATCAGGTATGATAAAATCTCCAATATGATATTAAATTAGAATTAAATTAAATTAGGATGTAGCCCAGCTGAATGAGTGAGGGGTTTTGGCTAGCTAACGTTAGCAATTTAGTGTGTTGGGATATTCGCCATCCCTGCGCAGCAGCACATGCATTTTACTTAGGTTACACCGAGAAAAAACTTTATGGACTAGCTTAGCATGAGAGAAACACTGGACAACATCTTCTCCGTCGGCTGGCCTCCATAACTCCTCCAGAGTCAGCCATTCATTCACACAGAACATGGAGGGTGCGTGCACGGGCAATGACATCATCACGTCACAGAGCGACAAATGTGCTTAACACTTCCACTCAAAGAAATGTTTACTGCTCTCTCTACTGCGGAGGTCTTCAACAGGGGGTCTGCGACCCCTAGGGGGTCCACAGAGGTAGTGCATGGGGGTCGCGAAAGTTTTGGTTTATTAGACTTTTTTTTATATTCCCAATTCTTTCCACTAATTGAAATGTGTTTAAATCCACATAAACATGAATCCAACAGACTGCAGTAAACAGATAAATGGAGGCAGAAGATGTCTTTCAGTCATCAATGCTCACATTCAGCGACACACATTAAGCTGGGCACCGTTTCATTCACAACACCTGTCCCATCAACCAAGAATCAGGAATACTTTATTAATCCCAGGGAGGGATTACTTTAGTTACATTACTCCATCTGTAATAGAGTGACTATAGGACCAGTTTGATAGAACACTATTTCATACAATATATAATTAGGGGGTCTCTGCTCTATCTTGCCATCAGTTTGGGGTCCTTAGATTAGAAAACGTTGAAGACCCCTGCTCTACTGTATACTAGGAAACAAGAACAAAAACATATCTAATTTTGTACTGTACTCAGTTACAGTATAACCCATAATAAAAAAAAAAAACATTTCACATACTGGCAGTTCTGGAAACCTCCTTTACTTCACTTCTTTGTAACATTAATTTCACCTGCCAGCTTCCATTGCTCTCCGAACAAACAACCAGAGGTGTCAAGTAACAAAGTACAAATACTTCGTTACTGTACTTAAGTACAGTTTTTAGGTATCTCTACTTTACTCCATTACTTATTTTTCTTCCTACTTCTGACTTCTACTCATTTTCTCACCAGTATCTGTTCTTTCTATTCCTTACATTTTTAAAACAAACGTTACTCGTTCCTTTTGGCTTCGGTTTAATGTTTCTAAATCTTTATTTCCCGTCATGTGCTCCATCCAATGCAGATCATTGGCTCCGCCCACATCTAGTGAAAACTAGTGTGATTGGATGAGTCATAGAACGCAAACACTCATTGGTTAGCTAAAGGAAACCATCAGAAGCAAGCAGGTGTTCTTCAAACTGCTAACGTGAATTGTCTATGCCATGCTACAATGTGGGATTCAGAAAAAGATGTTGAAATGTCTGAAAGGTCGGACACAGGCGAGAGCGTATCGGGAGACGGAGACCAACCAGACCTCCCTCATCCTTGGCCCTATCTCACAGAATTTATAGAAATAGTCCAAATATTGAGCTTTCAGTTCATATAGCGGCATCTGGCTGTTTTTTTTAAAGGTTATTTTATACTTTTATACTTTAAGTAGTTTTTGGAGCACAACATTTTTCACTTTGGGTGAAAACAGGGTGTTTTCCCTGTAAAAACATAGTAACTACTGTAACACCTGTTATGAATCTGAGCTGTGGTTTGCCCTGCATACGTCCATAATTGCTTTGGGAGGTTACTCTCCAATAGCATGCATCATGCCACCTCGAATAATGTTCTCCATCCCCGTTCTACTGGGTTGGGTAGGGTGCACTTGTCTCATTCCTTATCCCATTACTCCTAAGTAAGGACTGTAAATCTTGCCCGGTTAAACTCTGTACCGTTGTCAGATCTATTACACTTAATCTTCCCATAGGGAGGATAATCTGCTATGAATTTTTCTGTAGCTTGCTCAGCATAGCTTATTGTCTTCAGAAAATAGGGAAAAATCATCCCACTGTAATCATCAGTAAATGCAATTGTACCCATCTTTATCTGCTGCTTCTATCAGCCCACACAAGTCTGTGTGCACTAGCTCAGGTATGGAGGTAGCCTTTGCATCTGCCTGTCTGTTTCTGCTTTGCGTGGAATTTACCCTGTGTGCATATTTCACAATTTTGGTTGGATTTATCATTTTTGCCCTTAATAGACATCCCTTCAACCGCATTCTCTATTTATCATGACAACCATATACTTTATCAACCTTTTCTCTCTCAGCTGTGCTAAGGTAGTACAGCCTACCGTACACATCCATTTTGATTTTTCTACCGTCCCTGTTGATGAGCCAGCTCTTTAAAACGGACCTCTGCGCCGTTGCCTGTCACTGCCTTGACAGAAACGATGTTCTGTGGGAATGATGGGATGTAGAGCCCATGCTTGAGTCTCCTTCTCACTCGTCGTCCCAGCAAGTAGACCTCGGCGTCTCTCCTCATCTTCGCCATTCCGCTCTCCTCGGTTCTGTTGGCCATCTCTATCATGTGGTCCTCTTGTCTGAAGCTCTTGTCCACCGTTTTGAACCTGTTGGCATTGTTGATCATATGTGATGTGGCCCCGCAGCCAACCATGAGCCCTTTCTTGTTTTCTCCAAGCACTTGACAGTCACTCATCTTAAAGAAAAATGACTGTGTATCTGTCTGTTCATCTGCTTTCTTGATTTGATCACAACCGTGCCCTTTTCCTCGCTGCGGTGTGTCCCATGCTTGATCATCTCTCCTCTGTTGCACGTCATTGGGGCATGCTCGTGCCATGTCTCCTCTTTTCTAGCACAGCGCTCCATGTCGGCCAAGTCCACCTTCTTTCCTCGGCCTCTCCAGCGCGCTTTCATTGCCCCTCCTGTCCTCATCACGTTGTCCTCGGTCACGTCTCCTCTTCTATATTTCTCTGTACTCTCATAGCTGCGCATTCTACTCTTAAATTTGCCAAAAGCCACGACTTCATTTGACTCGGGTAGCCCTTTCACTACCATTGCAATCATAAGTCCATCACTAATTTGCTCATATGCTCTCCTTAATGACATGAAAATAGTCTCTGCTCGAATTATGTATTGGATAATTGTCTCATCGCTAGCTTTGCAGAGTGGCTTGTCCTGGCTTGTCCTTACCAACGTAATGCTTTCGCAGAATATCCAAGGCCTTCCTTCCATCTCGTTCAGCTTCTCTCATTACTAACGATAAACTTTTGTTGTCCAAAACTTGTACAAGTTCCGCATACGCCTCACCATTCTTTGCCTCATCTTGGGCGAGAGCTACTCCATCTTCACCGTCGATTTCTGGCGTCTCTGTGATGGTCTCCCTGAGACTACAAAGTTCCATGTGCACGAGGAACCATGCTTCCCAAACTTTTCTCTTCACCTTTGAATAAAAGTCTGTTCCACCTGTGCCCTAACTGACTGGGCCCATAACCTGTGGGGATATTCGCCATCCCTGTGCAGCAACACTTGCGTTTTACTTAGTTTAAAAATCTTGATGGACTAGCTTAGCATTGGAGAAACACTTGACAAAATCTTCTCCTTTGCTGGCACTCCATAACTCCTGCAGAGTCGGCCATTTATTCAGACACACAGAACATGGAGGGTGCTGCGCGGGCACTGATGTCATCACGTCACACAGCGACCGGATGCTGATAAACATGTCTTTGCTCAAACAACACAAATAATCTGAAAACATTGTCATGGATGGAAATGGTGCTCTTTCACGGTTTGGGACTTGGACTTGATCACGTGCTCTGACTGCAGCGTGCAAAACACAAATCACATGTGACTTAAACAATAAAATTACCTGCAGGTCATGAATAAATATATACATATTGAGAGAAATCAAAAACTTTGTTATGGGTCCTTTGTACGTGTATTTAGTTCAGATTAAATCAAACTTGATGTCTCAAAAACCAAAAATAATGAGTTACACAATCAAATCAATCATTTTATCCAGGTTAGAGTGACGGTCATTAGTCTGAATGAACAGCTACATGTTACAGTTTTTTTTACTGTAGAAGTTGTAATGAGTAATGTAATGAATGTAACCGAGTAACTGTAACTAGTTACTTTTTACCAGCAAATATTTTTCCTTTAACATCGCAGCCATGTGGTCCTTGATTGTTTAATTCTTTACAATTTTCAAGAACATCAGAACATTTTCAAAGGGTGTGAATACTTTTAGACTCTGTTTAATAAATCTGTGGACTAGCGCTTTGAGATGAACACTTTTTCACACGTTATGCGATTAATCTGCAGAGCGCAGCAGCAGTCTGTGGTGTTTAATTACAGTTTTAGAAGCCTGCAGTTTGTCCGGCAGTGCTGAGACACAGAAGTATAATTAAACATTCTGGCACATGAAATGACAATTAAGGAGAGGTATTCTGGTCCTCCGCCGTCGGTGTGACACATGCATTCTGTTGCTACACTCAGCTGCTCTGGCAGAAGTTACAGTAATGAGAAAGTGGAGCAGGTTTCCATGGAGATGCAGTCAGAAAAGTTCCACTCATGCTCCTTAAAACTAGCAGCAAATCAGATCATCCTGTTAAAGCTACTTTTTAATTTGTTCCTCCTCATAAACAAATCAAAATGTGATGTTATACCCATACAGCGACATAAAGAGCGTGAAGAAACAGATGTTAACGCTGTCAT